CATCATGTATTGCTAGCCCAGAGAAATTCAAAACTCATCAGTGTTGTAGCAACATCATGTATTGCTAGCCCAGAGAAATTCAAAACTCAGTGTTGTAGCAACATCATGTATTGCTAGCCCAGAGAAATTCAAAACTCAGTGTTGTAGCAACATCATGTATTGCTAGCCCAGAGAAATTCAAAACTCAGTGTTGTAGCAACATCATGTATTGCTAGCCCAGAGAAATTCAAAACTCAGTGTTGTAGCAACATCATGTATTGCTAGCCCAGAGAAATTCAAAACTCAGTGTTGTAGCAACATCATGTATTGCTAGCCCAGAGAAATTCAAAACTCAGTGTTGTAGCAACATCATGTATTGCTAGCCCAGAGAAATTCAAAACTCAGTGTTGTAGCAACATCATGTATTGCTAGCCCAGAGAAATTCAAAACTCAGTGTTGTAGCAACATCATGTATTGCTAGCCCAGAGAAATTCAAAACTCAGTGTTGTAGCAACATCATGTATTGCTAGCCCAGAGAAATTCAAATCATCAGTGTTGTAGCAACATCATGTATTGCTAGCCCAGAGAAATTCAAAACTCAGTGTTGTAGCAACATCATGTATTGCTAGCCCAGAGAAATTCAAAAGAGAAATTCAAAACTCAGTGTTGTAGCAACATCATGTATTGCTAGCCCAGAGAAATTCAAAACTCAGTGTTGTAGCAACATCATGTATTGCTAGCCCAGAGAAATTCAAAACTCAGTGTTGTAGCAACATCATGTATTGCTAGCCCAGAGAAATTCAAATCATCAGTGTTGTAGCAACATCATGTATTGCTAGCCCAGAGAAATTCAAAACTCAGTGTTGTAGCAACATCATGTATTGCTAGCCCAGAGAAATTCAAATCATCAGTGTTGTAGCAACATCATGTATTGCTAGCCCAGAGAAATTCAAAACTCAGTGTTGTAGCAACATCATGTATTGCTAGCCCAGTTCAAAACTTGTTGTAGCAACATCATGTATTGCTAGCCCAGAGAAATTCAAAACTCAGTGTTGTAGCAACATCATGTATTGCTAGCCCAGAGAAATTCAAAACTCAGTGTTGTAGCAACATCATGTATTGCTAGCCCAGAGAAATTCAAAACTCAGTGTTGTAGCAACATCATGTATTGCTAGCCCAGAGAAATTCAAAACTCAGTGTTGTAGCAACATCATGTATTGCTAGCCCAGAGAAATTCAAAACTCAGTGTTGTAGCAACATCATGTATTGCTAGCCCAGAGAAATTCAAAACTCAGTGTTGTAGCAACATCATGTATTGCTAGCCCAGAGAAATTCAAATCATCAGTGTTGTAGCAACATCATGTATTGCTAGCCCAGAGAAATTCAAAACTCAGTGTTGTAGCAACATCATGTATTGCTAGCCCAGAGAAATTCAAAACTCAGTGTTGTAGCAACATCATGTATTGCTAGCCCAGAGAAATTCAAAACTCAGTGTTGTAGCAACATCATGTATTGCTAGCCCAGAGAAATTCAAAACTCAGTGTTGTAGCAACATCATGTATTGCTAGCCCAGAGAAATTCAAAACTCAGTGTTGTAGCAACATCATGTATTGCTAGCCCAGAGAAATTCAAAACTCAGTGTTGTAGCAACATCATGTATTGCTAGCCAAAACTCAGTGTTGTAGCAACATCATGTATTGCTAGCCCAGAGAAATTCAAATCTCAGTGTTGTAGCAACATCATGTATTGCTAGCCCAGAGAAATTCAAAACTCAGTGTTGTAGCAACATCATGTATTGCTAGCCCAGAGAAATTCAAAACTCAGTGTTGTAGCAACATCATGTATTGCTAGCTAGCCCAGAGAAATCAAAACTCAGTGTTGTAGCAACATCATGTATTGCTAGCCCAGAGAAATTCAAAACTCAGTGTTGTAGCAACATCATGTATTGCTAGCCCAGAGAAATTCAAAACTCAGTGTTGTAGCAACATCATGTATTGCTAGCCCAGAGAAATTCAAAACTCAGTGTTGTAGCAACATCATGTATTGCTAGCCCAGAGAAATTCAAACTCATGTAGTGTTGTGTTGTAGCAACATCATGTATTGCTAGCCCAGAGAAATTCAAATCTCAGTGTTGTAGCAACATCATGTATTGCTAGCCCAGAGAAATTCAAAACTCAGTGTTGTAGCAACATCATGTATTGCTAGCCCAGAGAAATTCAAAACTCAGTGTTGTAGCAACATCATGTATTGCTAGCCCAGAGAAATTCAAAACTCAGTGTTGTAGCAACATCATGTATTGCTAGCCCAGAGAAATTCAAAACTCAGTGTTGTAGCAACATCATGTATTGCTAGCCCAGAGAAATTCAAAACTCAGTGTTGTAGCAACATCATGTATTGCTCATGTGTTGTTGCATCATGTATTGCCCAGAGAAAATTCAAAAGCTCATCAGTGTTGTAGCAACATCATGTATTGCTAGCCCAGAGAAATTCAAAACTCAGTGTTGTAGCAACATCATGTATTGCTAGCCCAGAGAAATTCAAAACTCAGTGTTGTAGCAACATCATGTATTGCTAGCCCAGAGAAATTCAAATCATCAGTGTTGTAGCAACATCATGTATTGCTAGCCCAGAGAAATTCAAAACTCAGTGTTGTAGCAACATCATGTATTGCTAGCCCAGAGAAATTCAAAACTCAGTGTTGTAGCAACATCATGTATTGCTAGCCCAGAGAAATTCAAATCATCAGTATTTGTAGCAACATCATGTATTGCTAGCCCAGAGAAATTCAAAACTCAGTGTTGTAGCAACATCATGTATTGCTAGCCCAGAGAAATTCAAAACTCAGTGTTGTAGCAACATCATGTATTGCTAGCCCAGAGAAATTCAAAACTCAGTGTTGTAGCAACATCATGTATTGCTAGCCCAGAGAAATTCAAAACTCAGTGTTGTAGCAACATCATGTATTGCTAGCCCAGAAATTCTCAGTGTTGTAAACTCAACAGTCATGTATTGCAACATCATGTATTGCTAGCCCAGAGAAATTGCTAGCCCAGAGAAATTCAGTGTGTTGTAGCAACATCATGTATTGCTAGCCCAGAGAAATTCAAAACAGTGTTGTAGCAACATCATGTATTGCTAGCCCAGAGAAATTCAAAACTCAGTGTTGTAGCAACATCATGTATTGCTAGCCCAGAGAAATTCAAAACTCAGTGTTGTAGCAACATCATGTATTGCTAGCCCAGAACTCAGTGTTGTAGCAACATCATGTATTGCTAGCCCAGAAATTCAAATCAGTGTTGTAGCAACATCATGTATTGCTAGCCCAGAGAAATCAAAACTCAGTGTTGTAGCAACATCATGTATTGCTAGCCCAGAGAAATTCAAATGTTCAGTGTTGTAGCAACATCATGTATTGCTAGCCCAGAACTCAGTCAGTGTTGTAGCAACATCATGTATTGCTAGCCCAGAGAAATTCAAAACTCAGTGTTGTAGCAACATCATGTATTGCTAGCCCAGAGAAATTCAAAACTCAGTGTTGTAGCAACATCATGTATTGCTAGCCCAGAGAAATTCTCAGTGTTGTAGCAACATCATGTATTGCTAGCCCAGAGAAATTCAAAACTCAGTGTTGTAGCAACATCATGTATTGCTAGCCCAGAGAAATTCAAAACTCAGTGTTGTAGCAACATCATGTATTGCTAGCCCAGAGAAATTCAAAACAGTGTTGTAGCAACATCATGTATTGCTAGCCCAGAGTGTTGTAGCAACTCAGTGTTGTAGCAACATCATGTATTGCTAGCCCAGAGCAAATTCTAGCCCAAATTCAAAACTCAGTGTTGTAGCAACATCATGTATTGCTAGCCCAGAGAAATTCAAAACTCAGTGTTGTAGCAACATCATGTATTGCTAGCCCAGAGAAATTCAGTGTTCAGTGTTGTAGCAACATCATGTATTGCTAGCCCAGAACTCAGTGTTGTAGCAACATCATGTATTGCTAGCCCAGAACTCAGTGTTGTAGCAACATCATGTATTGCTAGCCCAGAACTCAGTGTTGTAGCAACATCATGTATTGCTAGCCCAGAACTCAGTGTTGTAGCAACATCATGTATTGCTAGCCCAGAACTAGTGTTGTAGCCAGTATTGCTAACTCAGAGAACTTCAGAACTCAGTGTTGTAGCAACATCATGTATTGCTAGCCCAGAACTCAGTGTTGTAACATCATGTATGCTATTGCTAGCCCATGATTGCTCAGTGTTGTAGCAACATCATGTATTGCTAGCCCAGAACTCAGTGTTGTAGCAACATCATGTATTGCTAGCCCAGAGACTCAGTGTTGTAGCAACATCATGTATTGCTAGCCCAGAACTCAGTGTTGTAGCAACATCATGTATTGCTAGCCCAGAACTCAGTGTTGTAGCAACATCATGTATTGCTAGCCCAGAGAAATTCAAAACTCAGTGTTGTAGCAACATCATGTATTGCTAGCCCAGAACTCAGTGTTGTAGCAACATCATGTATTGCTAGCCCAGAACTCAGTGTTGTAGCAACATCATGTATTGCTAGCTAGAACTCCAGTGTTGTAGCAACATCAGTATTTGCTCAGTGTTGTAGCAACATCATCATGTATTGTATTGCTAGCCCAGAACTCAGTGTTGTAGCAACATCATGTATTGCTAGCCCAGAACTCAGTGTTGTAGCAACATCATGTATTGCTAGCCCAGAACTCAGTGTTGTAGCAACATCATGTATTGCTAGCCCAGAACTCAGTGTTGTAGCAACATCATGTATTGCTAGCCCAGAACTCAGTGTTGTAGCAACATCATGTATTGCTAGCCCAGATTCAGTGTTGTAGTTGTAGCACATCATGTATCTGCATGAATAATCAGTGTTGGAAATATATTGCAATACAATTTAAACACAGTCCTACCACTGATAATGTTTCCTCCATCAAATGTACATGTGAAATCTTTATGAACACAAAATGCTTGTTTGAATATTATATCAACACCTTTATTTTTCAGTTGATATGCAGAAATAAACATTTTCAAGGCTTATTGCAATCAGTCCGTCTGTACACCACCGTGTCCGCTGTGTGACCAGCATCATGTCTGCAACTCGTACAATTACATCATCTGTGGCCAAGGACAGGGTCATTTCCAAGTTCCCTCAAGTAAGGATATAGATTGTAATTAGGGTTGAGGCACAGAACTGTGCCTTTAATTTCACCCAGTGAAAGCTTTCATCATAGGTGGTGTAGTGGTTAGAACGTCTGCCCGGAGAGCGGAAGGTCGCGGGTTCCATCTCTGGTCGCATCATACCAAACGACGATAAATATGGTACTTGTTGGTCCCCATCTGGCTCTCGGCATTAGTGGGTACAACAAGGACTTGTTGGCTCGGGATTATAATGTGTCTGAGTGGGGTATTCATGCTTAACTGCTGCATGGAATCTCAGTGAGCTAGCACTATAAAACCAGCTTAAGTCTGGACTAGTACAAGCAGCCACACATACACACACCTGCATGTTTTCGTATGAGCGAAATATTCTCAAGTTAAACCCCACCCCACCTCATCGATACGATACGATATGATGTACACAAGAATATACTGGATACAGGTGTGCCCAGCAGTTGTGTGCAGCAGTTGTGTGGCTAGAGTACTGATCACTGCCAATTTAACAAAGGACCAAACATCTGTACTAAATCATCTACAAATTTCTTACAAGCTGGTATTGCACAGACCAATATGACAATGTTTGTGGTTTTCAGAGTGTCATAAACTATGACTGGTGATACACTGAAAGTTAGATGTAGCACTTGTCTGAGATGTTGTGTATAAGTTAGATGTAGCACTTGTCTGAGATGTTGTGTATAAGTTAGATGTAGCACTTGTCTAAGATGTTGTGTATAAGTTAGATGTAGCACTTGTCAGAGATGTTGTGTATAAGTTAGATGTAGCACTTGTCTAAGATGTTGTGTATAAGTTAGATGTAGCACTTGTCAGAGATGTTGTGTATAAGTTAGATGTAGCACTTGTCTGAGATGTTGTGTATAAGTTAGATGTAGCACTTGTCTGAGATGTTGTGTATAAGTTAGATGTAGCACTTGTCTGAGATGTTGTGTATAAGTTAGATGTAGCACTTGTCTGAGATGTTGTGTATAAGTTAGATGTAGCACTTGTCAGAGATGTTGTGTATAAGTTAGATGTAGCACTTGTCAGAGATGTTGTGTATAAGTTAGATGTAGCACTTGTCTGAGATGTTGTGTATAAGTTAGATGTAGCACTTGTCTGAGATGTTGTGTATAAGTTAGATGTAGCACTTGTCTGAGATGGGTATAGGTTAGATGTAGCACTTGTCAGAGATGTTGTGTATAAGTTAGATGTAGCACTTGTCTGAGATGTTGTGTATAAGTTAGATGTAGCACTTGTCAGAGATGTTGTGTATAAGTTAGATGTAGCACTTGTCAGAGATGTTGTGTATAAGTTAGATGTAGCACTTGTCTGAGATGTTGTGTATAAGTTAGATGTAGCACTTGTCAGAGATGTTGTGTATAAGTTAGATGTAGCACTTGTCAGAGATGTTGTGTATAAGTTAGATGTAGCACTTGTCTGAGATGTTGTGTATAAGTTAGATGTAGCACTTGTCTAAGTTGTCTGAGATGTTGTGTATATGTGGCTTCATTCCAGGCCTTCCATCCAGATGCAACGCCGTATCAGAAGATGAACTTCCACCCCAAGGTGAAAGCAGCGTGTACAGAAAACAAGACAGGAAGAGTTGGGTACGTATACCCATCTGTCCTCCAGAGTCGGGTACGTATACCCACCTGTACCAAGGGCTTTCTACAATCTGGCTTTTGGCTGGTTGGTTGGTTATTGTTTACACCGTACTCAGCAATATTCCAGCTATACGGCAACAGTCTGTAAATAATCAAGTCTGGACCAAACAATCCAGTGATCAACAACACGAGCATCGATGTACACAATTGCGATGCGTTGACATGTGTCAATCAAGTCAGCCAATCTGACCACCTGATCCCGTTAGTCGCCTTTTATGCGAGCATGGGTTGCTGAAGACCAGTTCTAACCCGGATCTTCATGGGTTCTGGCTTGTGAGTTTGCTCATAACATCAACCACTTGCTTGTCTGCTTGAGACTTGATTCTTTCCAAATGGTAGTACTGTACCTGGAATATTGCTATTTGTGAATCCGGCCAAAATGTGAAATTCAGTGATTACAGCTTCTTCTCTAGTTTGACAAGTGTCTGTCTTGAGTTCTGATGCTGTGAAGTGTTACCATGGTTACAGCCCCGTAATAGGTCGGATGTGTTTGCTGTTCCAGGTTAAAGATATCCAAGGCAGTGCTGGTGGGAGATGTAGCTGTGGGGAAGACCTGTCTCGTCAACAGGTACGGGAGACACACCTGGGAGGAAGGTTGTCACAATGTGCTTGAGGTGCTGGGGTAGCCTAGTTGTCCCTCGCCGGAACGGGGGGCTATGTATTCAGCGGCGTTTGTCCCGATTCTTGTTAACGCGATATCTCATGAACTGTTGTACCCAATGTCTTCAAATTTGGTGACAGCCTACATTGGGGGACTACCCACACACTAGTCGATTTGGGTGACCTTGACCTTATTTTCAAGGTCACAACACTTTGACCACTTTTCAAACTCTTGTTAACGAGATATCTCATGAACTGTTGTACCCAATGTCTTCAAATTTGGTGACAGTCTACATTGGGGGACTACCCACACACTAGTCGATTTGGGTGACCTTGACCTTATTTTCAAGGTCACAACACTTTGACCACTTTTCAAACTCTTGTTAACGAGATATCTCATGAACTGTTGTACCCAATGTCTTCAAATTTGGTGACAGTCTACATTGGGGCACTACCCACACACTAGTCGATTTGGGTGACCTTGACCTTATCTTCAAGGTCACCACGACACTTTGACCGCTTTTCAAACTTATTTAAACGCGATATCTCATAAAACATTGCACCCAATGTTTTCAATTATGTTGACAGCCTACATTGGGTGATTAGGCAGACACCAGTCATTTCAGGAATCTTGTATGTGACCAAAAAATATAAAGTAGTAAATATAGATATTCCATTCTTTAGTGGCGGGGGACATTGCCATATTAGTGGCAAACACTGGTTGTTATATAAAAGCATTTGCTTTCTCTGATTTCTATCATGGGTAAGGTTTGTGAAACCAACTTGTGATAATATGATAATATGATGATGATGATGATGATGATGATGATGATGATGATGATGATGATTGATGATGATGATGTTGCTGGAAGCAGTGATATACTGTAGTCTCAAAATGCAATGGGATTTCAAAAAGATAATCATCTTTCATTTTCAGTGCATCTACCATAGCTTTGTTTTGAGCCTTTACTGACTGAAAAAACTATCCATTCATTCTTGTACAAGACAGATTCTATGAGAAGGTATTGATAAGAGACCAGTGATAAGGCCAAGTGAAAAAATTGTTGTGGTTCCGATTACAGCTCTTTAAAATTTAGGGTAGGTAGGTAAGAATTTTTTAAATATTTTTCACATTTTTTTAAGAGGTAAAGTACAAACTAATAACACATTTATCAATGTGAAATTGTTTATTTAATCAAGCTTGCCACCATCTCTACGATCTTGTCAAATTTTTCTATCAGAATGACTGATGTCCGTCGGTGCCGGGAAAAAACAATGGTATCTGAACGCTTGTTTTATACCGCTTAAAAAAATAGGGTCGGCACCAGAAATCAAGGGTCGGTCCAGTAATCGGAACCACAACATTTTTTAGGCCTATTTCCAGTGTTGTGACCGTGTGAATGTTCCACAGGTTCTGCCACGATGTGTTTGACCGAGACTACAAGGCTACGATCGGGGTCGACTTTGAAGTGGAGAAGTTCAGCATTTTGTCCACACCCTTCACCTTACAGATGTGAGTGGTTCATGCCAGTTGTATCTTACTTGTCATAGTGGGTAATGAATAAAAAAAAATAGGTACAAAATACAAACAGTAGGTACCTAATATACCGGTACTCATCGGAACAAATAAGTGTTCCTTTATTCTTTTCCAGGTTTCTTCACAAGGTATGTATTGCACTGTGAGTGAAATTCTGGATATAGATAAAGGAACACTTGTACTACCATGTGTTCCCTTATTTGTTTCCATGAGTGTATCTCTGAAACAACAACCAATAAAGTTTTCACAGTGCTGACTTTATGACAGTGTGAATTTATCATGACAGTGACCCATTTGCTGTTAAACTGAAAATACATGACTATCCATCCTGGTTTGGATATATTCATTTTCCATATCATGCTTTGACAAATAACCACGAAATTTAAGTAAAAACACTCCTTTTAAATTTTTTTTATGAACATTCGATTCTAGTGATTGCTGAATAATGAGTTGAATTTATGAAGGGATGCAGTAACACGCAGTAACACGCAGCAACACGCAGCAACACGCAGCAACACGCAGTAACACGCAGTAACACGCAGCAACACGCAGTAACATGCAGTAACACGCAGTAACACGCAGCAACACGCAGCAACACGCAGCAACACGCAGCAACACGCAGTAACATGCAGTAACACGCAGTAACACGCAGTAACACGCAAGTGAATCAGAACAGACTCAGACCACAGACATTCTCTCACATACAGTAACACGCACGTGAATCAGAACAGACTCAGACCACAGACATTCTCTCACATACAGTAACACGCAAGTGAATCAGAACAGACTCAGACCACAGACAATCTCTCACATGCAGTAACACGCAAGTGAATCAGAACAGACTCAGACCACAGACAATCTCTCACATGCAGTAACACGCGCGAATCAGAACAGACTCAGACCACAGACAATCTCACATGCAGTAACATCGAAATCAGAACAGACTCAGACCACAGACATTCTCTCACATGCAGTAACATGCAAGTGAATCAGAACAGACTCGGACCACAGACAATCTCTCACATGCAGTAACACGCACGTGAATCAGAACAGATTCAGACCACAGACATTCTCTCACATGCAGTAACACGCAAGTGAATCAGAACAGACTCGGACCACAGACAATCTCTCACATGCAGTAACACGCAAGTGAATCAGAACAGACTCAGACCACAGACATTCTCTCACATGCAGTAACACGCAGCAACACGCAACAACGCGCATTAGACAGCAACAACAATCGAACAGCTCAACACGCACATAACACGTGAATGCGGTATTCTCTCACATGCAGTAAGTGAATCAGAACAGACTCAGACCACAGACATTCTCTCTCACATACAGTAACACGCAAGTAAATCAGAACAGACTCAGACCACAGACAATCTCTCACATGCAGTAACACGCAAGTGAATCAGAACAGACTCAGACCACAGACAATCTCACATGCAGTAACACGCTAGTGAATCAGAACAGACTGAATCAGAACAGACTCAGACCACAGACAATCTCTCACATGCAGTAACACGCACGTGAATCAGAACAGACTCAGACCACAGACAATCTCTCACATGCAGTAACACGCACGTGAATCAGAACAGACTCAGACCACAGACATTCTCTCACATGCAGTAACACGCAAGTGAATCAGAACAGACTTCGGACCACAGACAATCTCTCACATGCAGTAGTAACCACAGACACTTGAATCAGAACAGACTCAGACCACAGACATTCTCTCACATGCAGTAACACGCTAGAGTGAATCAGAACAGACTCGGACCACAGACAATCTCTCACATGCAGTAACACGCTGCAGTAACGTGAATCAGAACAGACTCAGACCACAGACATTCTCTCACATGCAGTAACACGCAACGTGAATCAGAACAGACTCAGACCACAGACATTCTCTCACATGCAGTAACACGCAAGTGAATCAGAACAGACTCAGACCACAGACATTCTCTCACATGCAGTAACACGCATAAAAGTGAATCAGAACAGACTCAGACCACAGACATTCTCTCTCACATGCAGTAACACACAAGTGAATCAGAACAGACTCGGACCACAGACATTCTCTCACATGCAGTAACAAGTGAATCAGAACTCAACCACAGAATCAGAACAGACTCAGACCACAGACATTCTCTCACATGCAGTAACACGCAAGTGAATCAGAACAGACTCGGACCACAGACAATCTCTCACATGCAGTAACACGCAAGTGAATCAGAACAGACTCAGACCACAGACATTCTCTCACATGCAGTAACACGCAAGTGAATCAGAACAGACTCAGACCACAGACATTCTCTCACAGCTTTGTGCCTTTTATCAGCATACAGGCACTAAATGCATTGAGGAGTAATGCAAGATAAGTGTACAAATATGTATAATATTTACATCTTAAAAAGTGATTTGAATGGGATTTTTGGGTGGTACTTGGTTCAAGGCTATCCTGTCTTTATGAATTATCTATATTGTTAAAGACACAGTATTTTATTTCCATCATGGGGAGCTGGTTCATTGTTTGTCTCAGTTTGCTTTACAGAGTTGCTTCCCTTGTGCCAGTAAAGTATGATCTGGGTTTGAATGTGAGATTTTTTTCTCCTGTGTTTCACCAAAGATGTACATGTGAAAGGCCTCTGTCAAGTCAGGCTTCCGACAACATCAAGTTGACAGAGCTTCATTACAGAAATAATGTTCAGATCGGCTCAAGACACAGTCTGCTTGTAAATATTATTCTGAAGGAACATGTCAAATATTTTTGTACTTTTGTTATGATTTTGTGACCTTGGTGAAAGTTACATATAAGTTGTCACACATGTCATCTATGTTAAAGATGGTCCCTTAAATACTGTCACCCAAAGATGTATGTTCCTACAGTGTGCTTATTTCTGTATTACGTCACTGGGTGTGGGATTACAGTGGAAGCCCTCAAAACTGGCATTCGTTGGGACCGATAAAAAATGCTGGTATTGAGGGCATGCCGGTTTAGAGAACTTTTCAACCTGATAATGATCTTTCATGTTCCGTAAGATACAACTGAACAACGTGTTGATAGTCATCATATTCTTCATTCATTAATTCTTGGATAGGGTCTTATCAGGTATCGTGTCTTCCAACGTGCCAGACAACCTTCTGATGCATTTCAGTTTTCTCTTTCAAAATAGGTCCAGAAATGGGCATGTTTTTACTGCGGGCAGTCAAAAACCAATCATTCGTCAGTGTGTTAATTTTGCCAAATTTACTGTTTGCAATAATTTATAATACAAGTGGCACATGTCACTCACTAATTTGCCAAATCCTTATCCATACTCCTTTCATCAGGCAACATCAATGAGCTTAATGCCGATGGTAATTCACTGTGTTGTTAATACATGTTCAGCCAATCAGCTAATCAACAGGAGAGCCGAGATACCAGGTGCCGGTTTAGAGAGCGTTAATTACAATACAAATTACAGTCAATTGGGCGGTCTTTGTTGTGCCAAAGTAAGGAATAGACTGACGCCATATTAGAGGGCGTGTAAATAATCATAAATTAACTAGCTTCTGCCGGGACCAACTTCTAGTGCCAATATTGAGAGGATGCCGGATTGGAGGGCTGCCGGTTTTGAGAGCTTCCACTGTACTTGTGAGACAGTGACTGCCGACCGATAGCTCCAACTGAAAGATGTTGTTTAGACACTTATTTTCAATGTGAGGACCCTGCTGAGATAGCAGCCCATTATGTATACATTGTCTTGTTGACAGATGGGACACAGCAGGCCAGGAGAGGTTCAAGTGTATAGCAGCTTCCTACTACAGGGGAGCTAACAGTGAGTACAACTAGGGGAGATCACTCTGTCCTTCTCTTTCACATTCTAAATTGCTCACAGGTAGTGACTGCCAAGTCAAAAATGATATGCATGGTTCTTCTCAGTTGTACCACTTTAAAACATGCTGGGGCCCTTTTGATTTTATTTAGAAAATATATTCCTTTCCCTGGATTATATATTAAGTGTCTCTGATTAAACTGTAGATAGTTGGTGTTCAGTGACTGTAACTATCCGACCTGACATGACTTTATGTCAGTTGAAGAAATGAACAATGTCCATCAGTTGTTTTCTTTTAATTCATTGGTTTACATCTTCCTTTTGTCATCACTTTTAAAGAAAATATGCTTTGGAAATATTGTTGTTATCACATGGAGGAAGGTCTAGTTCTAGTGTGGCAATGCCTTGAAATAGCGAAGAGGGAGACTGTATTGTTTGTGTGTTTACAGTTGTGATCGTTGCGTTTGACCTGTCTGACGAGGCGTCGTTACGGAGTGTTCCCAAGTGGATGGACGAGGCTTGTGAGAATGCAGCTGACCCAATCAAATGTCTGGTTGGAACTAAGAAAGATCTGATGGTACGCAGTGATTCCAATGAGGGAGGGGCATTCCAGGTCTGGTCCTAATGTTAGAGTGTAGGAATGTGGATGTAGTTCACTATCTCAATGATTACTGATGGTTACATCGTTAAACTTGAAACATGCCTTCTCTTGGATGAGACTGTTTTGAAAAGGTTATGGAAATTATTCAATGTTAGTTATGTTGCTCTTTTACATGTAAAATCCTGAGATTTAGATCATTGTCAGATCTTGAGAAGTCTGTCACGGTAAGAAGTCAAAAACGGTAAGGAATGTTTTTAATCTGGACCAATCTCATTACGATCATATCTTATTTCTAATTCTACCATGACTTCAGTAAATACTGGATTGTTATTGGTTTATTATAGTCATTCAGAAGTATCTGTAATCACCTTATATAACTCTGATTTTCCAACACAATATGTATTTTTTTTTTAAATCTTAATAACGCGGTTACGGTTGAATGGAGATAAACTTACTGTGTTGGAAAATCAGAGGTATATAATGATATTATAATAGCTCTGAATTTTGTATTTAAAACCTCATGCTACGCGTTCAGTATTAAATCAAATTTAGAGCTATTATAATTTTGTTAAATACCTCTGATTTTCCAACACAGTAAGTTTATCTCCTAATTAATGCCCAACACAGATCTGTGGGTATCCATTTCTCCCCAGGAAGACCTTGCATTTGACCTATCAGAACATGTGTTTTCTAATCATTTAATCTTGGAAGGGGTGAAAATGGGCTTGTTCCAGATGAACAAATATGATGTGTACATTAGACATACCTGAATGTTGCTTGCTTTCAGTTTTCAGGTTTTGTATTGAGAATTTTGTCAATGTGATTTTCAAAGAATAATCTGGACTGGACATCACCAGTTTGATACAAGTGCTTTAGAAAACTGTGTTCTCATTGACTCATGTCAGTTTCTTGTTGGACATTTTATCAGTCAATGCGAGTTCTCAAAAGTTGTTATGACATGGCATGAATGGGATGTCCCCAGATCTTTGTTTTAGTAGTGGCAGTGAGATTTCAGGTCTGTTGAGAACATGCTGGGAATACATGGTGAGCACTGACCCAATAGCAGGGTCACCTCCAGTCAAAGATTATATTGGACTCAGGGGCAGATCCAGAGGGGGTGTGCACACACGCCCCTTCTTTGCCGAAAGAAAATTCCCTGAGGAGCATTTCCCCCTAATCTTTGGACTTCCTGGTTTATGTGCATCCCCTTCTCCAAAATCCTAGATACGCGCCTGGGACCGGACAGTTTTTTCAGCTGATGTTTTTAAGTCAGCAACGGATTACACCCCACTCAATAGCATTGTTACCATGATAACTGCTCCATGTCAGCAGGACTTATCTACAGGCCCTCCTTGGTCAGCTGTTATGATGATCACTGTGTGTTCTGATGCAGAATCAATAGAGGGAACTGTATTTGAATATTGTGGTGTGTTCTTACCAAAATTAGTCCAGATGTATCAAATCTGGACTAATCCCCTGTCTTTACTTTCCAGTCTCCGGCAGGGTACATCGATATTGAGTTCCGTGCTATTGCGCTGGCCAATCAGTTAGGTGCTGAGTTCTGGGCAGTTTCCTCCAAGACAGGTAACATTATGCAAAGAGAATTGAAATGGCTGACTTCTTGGCAGATGTGCACTGTTCCGACAACCTAACATTAGGATATATTGTGTCATTAGGATGTTTTGTCTGTACTTTTACAGGGCAAGGTATATTGTAAAAACGTGAATGAATTTTTCAATGAACAGGAAAGCCATGAATAAAATTGAAAATGAGGTCCCAGAGAATACTTGTAAAATAATGACGGGGTGAACATATCACATGCTATCGACCTGAGAGATGTTATAGTATCAGCTCTTGTTGTAGTCTATTCAACTAGGTTTGGTTTGGTATAGATATTACTTCTCATAAATTGTCAATTGCCAAGAGGCCAGTATTTGAATTGTGTTAATATTGATATCCTGTCTTACACTGTTCATACTGATATTCTCTGATCCCTGTGTTAACACTGACCCCCTGTGTTACCATGTGTTAACACTGACCCCCTGTGTTACCATGTGTTAACACTGACCCCCTGTGTTACCATGTGTTAACACTGACCCCCTGTGTTACCATGTGTTAATACTGACCTCCTGTGTTACCATGTGTTAACACTGACCCCCTGTGTTACCATGTGTTAACACTGACCCCCTGTGTTACCATGTGTTAACACTGACCCCCTGTGTTACCATGTGTTAACACTGACCCCCTGTGTTACCCTGTGTTAATACTGACCCCCTGTGTTACCCTGTGTTAATACTGACCCCCTGTGTTACCCTGTGTTAATACTGACCCCCTGTATTACCCTGTGTTAACACTGACCCCTGTGTTACCCTGTGTAAACACTGACCCCCTGTGTTACCCTGTGTTAACACTGACCCCCTGTATTACCCTGTGTTAACACTGACCCCCTGTATTACCCTGTGTTAATACTGACCCCCTGTATTACCCTGTGTTAACACTGACCCCCTGTGTTACCCTGTGTTAACACTGACCCCCTGTATTACCCTGTGTAAACACTGACCCCCTGTGTTACCATGTGTTAATACTGACCCCTGTGTTACCCTGTGTTAATGTGTTAATACCCCCTGTATTACCATGTGTTAATACTGACCCCTGTATTACCCTGTGTGTAAATACTGACCCCTGTATTACCCTGTGTTACCCTGTGTGTTAACACTGACCCCTGTATTACCCTGTGTAAACACTGACCCCCTGTGTTACCCTGTGTTAATACTGACCCCCTGTATTACCCTGTGTAAACACTGACCCCCTGTATTACCATGTGTTAATACTGACCCCCTGTATTACCCTGTGTTAATACTGACCCCTGTGTTACCCCCTGTGTTAATACTGACCCCCCTGTGTTATTACCCTGTGTTAAACACTGACCCCTGTATTACCATGTGTTAATACTGACCCCTGTGTTACCATGTGTTAATACTGACCCCTGTGTACTGACATGTGTTACCCTGTGTTAATACTGACCCCTGTGTTACCATGTGTTAATACTGACCCCTGTATTACCCTGTGTTAATACTGACCCCTGTGTTACCACCCCTGTGTGTAATACTGACCCCTGTATTACCATGTGTTAATACTGACCCTGACCCCTGTATTACCCCTGTGTTAAAGTGTTACCATGTGTTCACACTGACCCCTGTATTACCCTGTGTTAATGCTGACCCCCTGTGTTACCCTGTGTTAATGCTGACCCCCTGTGTTACCATGTTAACACTCAATACTGACCCCTGTGTTACCCTGTGTTAATACTGACCCCTGTGTTACCCCCTGTGTGTTAATACTGACCCCCTGTATTACCCTGTGTTAACACTGACCCCTGTGTTACCATGTGTTGTTTAATACTGACCTCCTGTGTTACCCTTGTGTGTTAACTGACCCCTGTGTTTACCATGTGTTATGTGTTAACACTGACCCCCTGTGTTACCCTGTGTTAACACTGACCCCCCTGTGTTACCCTGTGTTAATGCTGACCCCTGTGTTACCCTTTGACCCCTGTGTTGACACTGACCCCCTGTATTACCCTGTGTTAACACTGACCTCCTGTGTTACCCTGTGTTAACACTGACCCCCTGTGTTACCCTGTGTTAACACTGACCCCCTGTGTTACCCTGTGTTAACACTGACCCCCTGTGTTACCCTGTGTAAATACTCTGTAGTCCTCTGTTGGCATGATACTATGTTACTGAGAGTGACTATAAATCTAACACTATTTTCTAATCATTTTGCCATCAGTCGTCCTTGTGTCATATTCTAATCTCCTTTCAGGTGAGAATGTTCGAGACTTTGTCTTCAGAGCAGTGTCTTTGGCCTTTGACAGTGCTCTGCTTAAAGAAGTCGATACCTCTGCCACATCACCCACAAAGCAAATAGGAAATGACTTGATAAGTGAGTAGCCCTATAATCATCACATTTTAACATTTCTGTACTGATATCCCTATAATCTTTATATTGAACATTTGCATACTGATACTAATATGATCTTTGTGTTTAACATTTGAGTATTGATACCAATATGATCTTTGTGTTTAACATTTGAGTATTGATACCAATTTGATCTTTGTGTTTAACATTTGAGTATTGATACTAATATGATCTTTGTGTTCAACATTTGAGTATTGGTACTAATATGATCTTTGTGTTTAACATTTGAGTATTGATACTAATATGATCTTTGTATTTAACATTTGAGTATTGATACCAATATGATCTTTGTGTTTAACATTTGAGTATTGATACCCCAGTAATTGTTAATTTTTAAACTTATCCTATCTCACGACTTGCCCACCTCTCTCTCTTCATTCGACCATGAGTGGAAACGAATTAAAACTTTGCTCCAGGCCTACCTTGTCCCTGTCCCCGTGCTGTGCGTGCCTTCCTGCCTCAGTCATGCTCACCAGTCCATGACAGCACGAGGCATGCGCAGTCCTCACCCACGTGATCACCTCACATACTCATTCTCTTTCTTGTCGCTCCACTGAGTGGACGTGAAAATAATTTCGTCTGAGAATTGCTCAAAATGGTTAAGCCTGTTCAGGCCAGTAAACGGAAGTTTTGTGCCCTTTATAATAAAGTATTTTCAGCATGGGACCCACACACATCGTGTGTTGATTGTGTGTTTTTTTGTGACTGGGACACACGCTGTCCTAAGTGTTCAGGTCTGTCTAATGAGGCGTTTAAATCTTACAAACGTGCTTGTGCCAGACGTTTGGCAGATAGGGCTAGGACTAATTCTGCGGGGTCTGGTCCATCTCCCGCTAAGAAACAATGCTTAGATCACCCCACCCTCACTGCTCACCGTTCTAAATCGCCCGTCTCTCATGACGAGGATTTTATGGACGCTTCGTCGGATTCCTATTTGTCTGAGAACGTTAAAAGGCTTTAGGGGAGCCCCCACCCAGTTTTAGTTCTCATGAGCTTACCAGGGTGGTAATGACCGATATTTCTTCTACGCAAGATCTGCGATCTACATTATCTCGTAGGTCTGTTTCTTCGGAACGTTCACAGACTTTGAGAATTTCTAAGCATTCACCGTCGAAGCGGGGATCAGCGCGGTTGGAACGTACCCACTCTCCTCTTTCCATGGTTTTATCTCACCGAAACAATTCACCCACACGAGTTGAGTCACCATCTGGTGCGAAGGTTCGAATACGTTCTTCCACTGCTGGGAAGAGTTGTTCTAGGTCTCGTTCACGCTTGAGCTCTTGTTGGCCTTCTAACGTATCAGTTCCAATTGATTCACGTAATCGAATGGGTTCACCAGGACGAATCAGTTCACTTTCCCGAGCCGGCTCACCAGTACATCTTCGAATGGGTTCACCTGACCGAACTGATTCACGTCATCAAATGGGTTCACCTGACCGAACTGATTCACGTAATTGAATGGGTTCACCTGACCGAACTGATTCACGTAATCGAAGGGGTTTACCAGGACTAACGGGTTCACATTTCGATCCGGTTCACCTAGCCGTACAGTGTGTTTTCGTCAGAGTGATTCTCGTAGTCGGTCTCATTCACTTCAGGTGAATCAGGATATCCCGTCTTGTCAGTCTACACTCAGTACCGTAATTTTGCGCACACTGTAACAATATTTACTTCCTCGGATCCCCAATCGTCATGTTCCTGGAGCAAACATTGTCGGGAATGTGCTCCCTTATTAAGGACGTTTTTAGAGCATGTAGACATGCTCATCAAAACGCTCTGTGTTGCCAGTTGACTCACACATCCGATCTACATCGTCAAATCGCTGAACCGATTCACCACACAGAATCGGTTCGCCATACCGAACGGATTCACCAGACCGAACCGTTTCAACGCCATACCGAATGGATTCACCACACCCAATCGGTTCGCCATACCGAATGGATTCACCACACCGAATCGGCTCGCCATATCGAATGGTTTCACCAAACCGAACCGTCAAATTGCCGAACCGATTCACCACACCGAATCGGTTCGGCATACCAAATGGATTCACCAGACCGAACCGTTTCGCCACGCCGTATGTGAATACGACATTGACTCAGTTCGCCATAATATTAAGACTGTTTCTTATCGCCGAAACAGTTCACATCATCGATTCAATTCACAGCACCGAAACGACTCACCTCGGCCGGAACATTTCACCTCGCCTCACCGGTTCATCTGAGCGTTCTAGATCTCTCCATCAGCTGAGATCATTTAACCATTTCGGTTTACCGAACCAATCCAGATCAGTCACAATTCAGATCACATCGGACTGATTCAGATCACGTCAACTTTCCGGCTCACCACCCTGAACTGATTTACCTGCCGGCTCGTACCGTTTCACCAGGTCGAAAGCTCCCTATCGTCGAACCAGTTCACCTGGCCGTTCAAGATCAATGTACAGAGGTAGTAGCTATGTGCTTCACCATGCCGATTTGATTTACATGTGATGTTAGTAGCGCAGTCATCTAGAGATATCACGCTCCGGCACTTGACGGCCTGATGATCCCAGTTCTCAAGAGTCCTCTGTAACCGGGGCTCATCTCATTCCAGATTTAATCTACCATCCGATCTTCACTTTTGATGAATGATTCGGTTCAACGATTCTACCCTTTGGTGTAGATGTCAGTTCTGCAACCACCCGATATGGCATAACTAGATACGCTTGCTAGCCAGGAATACTCTACGACGCTCCGATGAGTCTTGTTACTACAGACTACTGGAAACAGCGTGTTTGTGTATCACTGGGTGCAATTGTTGCAGACGGCTCGTCATCTTCAGCTCCCTTTGTTTTACATGATAAGCAAGTTTCTGGACAGATAACAATGGGTGAAGTTCTTGCGCATGGTACCAGCAATGTTTTGTCAAATAGGCAGCATAGCTCAGCCCGGAATTTATGGGTTGCGACTCGCCTGGTTAACCAAAGACCATGTTGTCCGTATTTTTCTGTCACTCGTGTGTAACGTTTGCAAATGGCGGACTACTGTTTGTTTACCGGAATTTTGATGATTAGAGTGACTATGAAGTGCCCTTGCAGAATTCTCTTGGTCCGACGAAACGGATACCAAGTCCAGCCTTTAAATGCAAGTAACAACGAACGCTGCCATTCCCGGTAAGAGTGAATGTGTCGGGATTTTGACAGCCAGTCGAGAGAGACTGCTTATTGAGGGTGACGGACAGAAACACCCTTGAACGGTTTGACTAGTTCAAGCACTGAGTTCAGAGGTCACTGCATTATGCAAGGACTGTCACCAGGCAGCGATCTACTCCTTATATCACTCCACCTGGCGCACCATTATTTTGTTCGGCCAAAAGAAACGTTCCTGAGGTCACCGATACAACATTTCGGCATAATACTGTTGTCTGTTTGCTTCAAGTTGAACTGGGGGCGGTGGGGTAGCCTAATGGTTAAAGCGTTGGCTCGTCACGCCGAAGACCCCGGTTCGATCCCCACATGGGCACAATGTGTTAAGCCCATTTCTGGTGCCCCCCGCCGTGATCTTGCTGGATGATTGCTAAAGGCGGTGTAAAACTAAACTCAGTCAGTCAGTCAGTCAGTCAGTCAGTCCCTCGACCTGTGAGACGCCTACCTTCACATCCGGATACATCCAGACTATCGGAAGTATCTTCGATTTACTTTTATGGGGCGTCATTGATACCAATGGAGGATCCTGCTGTATGGGCATATGTGCAGCCCCGTGGCTTTTTACTCAGATACCCATTCTGATAACAAGCTACCTGCATTGTCGGAGCGTGACAACTGACAACAATATCGACGACTGTGTTCAAGCCCAGCAGGATCCAGTCGTCCTTCCTTTCCACAGACAGTTCATCATCAAGTTGCTCACGCAATTAGGATGGCTGCTAAATTCGGAGCAATCAGGGGTAACACCGACCCGCTGATTTCTTCTTATTGGGTCAATATTCAACACGCCAGGTCATGATGTTTGTGCCCCAGGAGAGGTGGGACAAGATTCAGTGCAACGCACCACTAGTGTTGGTCCAACCCACACTCTTTCGCCAGTGGCAGAAGTTACTAGGGTGGTTGGCGTCGGCACAAGCGCTGACTTACAGGGGCCAGCTGCAGCTTGCCCTCTTCAGATGGTTCTGTGCCCATACATCGGGGACGACAACCCCAGGGAGTTGATTTGTCTTCCCGCACAACTACATTCAGTCTTTTGTTGGTGGCTCAACAAGTGGAATGTTTGTGTTGGAGTCTCTAGGGTGCCCTTCATACCGACTCAACACCTATTCGTTGGCACATCTTACAAGCTGGGGTGCTCACTTTCGCCATCAAGTGGCCTAGCAGTGGTCATCAGGAGAAAGGGCCCTTCATCACAACGAATTGGAATTCAGCACTGTCATTATCGCCTGTTCGGCAATCGGGACAACCATCAGCTTCAGCGCAGATGATCACCAGTTGCGGTCGTTTCTGCTTTGTGTACAATCTGAATAAAATTCTGAATTTTATTTCTGATTTGTGTCTTCGATTCTTCTGGGACTTGCGAGTTTCCGATTCAATTACCCTTTCACCCTCCAGGGGACAGTGTCTGTGGGGGTTGTTTCGAAGCAGGGGCTGGCCCGATACTGGTCGTCAGACCTTGGAAATCGTGGTAATGCGACTGTTTACACTCGCTAAGCTCTGTCCTTTCACTTTCATGAAGGTAGTGACTGAACACCACATTGCTCGGGAATCCCGGTCCCTGGAGCACTTGTGTTTAGTAAGTCAATGGGTCCGAACTGACCATCGCAGGTCTCGCTTTTGAGGCGCTGGAGGGTCGCCACCTCACTTACTGTCCTCTGCTCCACGGAGTAATTACGTCCAGTGAAGTGAGTCATTCCCGGCGTGTTACACTTCAGAAGCGTTACCTTTAAAGCATCGCCAGAGCCGCCGTCGTCTCGCGTAAGAGACTGTTTATACCCTTGTCTACTGCTTCCAAGGCGGAAGTTTCTCGCACAACACTTTCATATTGGCTACGAGCTACAAAACTTCGAGCCTACACTTTTGCGGTTTGCCACCACCTACGGCAGTCAACCCTCATGAAACCAGGGCATTGGCTTCTACTATGGCGTTGCATAGCAACTGCTCGTTAACTGCCATAATGGAGGATTGTTTTTGGCGATCTGACACAGTATTTTCATCTCATTACCTCAGAGATGTGTCGGTGACGGATATTCAAGGCCTTCATCAGTTTGGACCACTCGTCCCTTGCCCAGCAGTTATCAGCGGCACAACATCGCAGATAATGAACTTCCTTGTGCTCCGATGCTATATGGATCCCATTGGGCAGTTGATCCCAAGTCACGATCGTTTCTGCTTGTGTACAATCTGAATAAATCTGGAAAACTTTTTTCTGATTTACGTCTTTGTTCCTTCCGGGATTTAGATTTCTCCTCTCATTTGTTTGAGACTACAGAGAGTCGCCACCTCACTTACTGTCCTCTGCTCCACGGAGTAATTAAGTCAGTGAAGTGAGTCTTTCCCGAAGTGTTACACTTCGTAGCGTTCATGCTTCTAAGTGCCTATACACATCTATGTGATCTTACTGTGGTAAGTAGTGGAAGTCATAAGATGATGTTGTGGTACTGAACGTTAAAATTGTGAGTTTTACCGATTCAATTACCCTTTCACCCTCCTCGGGACGGTGTCTGTGGGGGTTGTTTCGAAGCAGGGGCTGGCCCGATACTAGTCGTTAGACTTTTATTACGGGGGTACCTTGGAAATCATGGCGATGCGACTGATTACACTCGCTAAGCTACGTCCTTTCACTTTGTGAAGGTAGTGACTGAACACCACATTGCTCAGGAATCCCGGTCCCTGGGAGCACTTGTGCTTAGTAAGTCAATGGGTTCGCACTAACCCTCGCACATAGTAACTTGGTAGTTATTGGCCTACCTTGTAGTTGCTTCCTACAGTTGTTTGGGCATAACGCTTAGCTGTTATCGCTTGAACTTCGGGTAATCCATGACCCACCTTCCTACCGTGGGATAAGTGCAAGTCGTGAGATAGGATAAGTATATAAATATACAATTTATAGTTAAAATTTCCAATATTTTAACATTCCAGTACTGATACTCCTATAATCTTCACACAAGGTGTCTGACATGTTAACCTTGAATTTCATTATGATTTTTGTATGTCTGCTGCCAACTGTTAGATACTACTGTGTGACATGTTAACGCTAACCAGATCATTGAAGTAATTGATGCCAGATGGAGGAACAGAGTGTATACAATAATACTTTCATTCACTCAGTTTGATGCCAGATGGAGGAACTTAGTGTATACAATAATACTTTCATTCACTCAGTTTGATGCCAGATGGAGGAACAGAGTGTATACAATTATACTTTCATTCACTCAGTTTGATGCCAGATGGAGGAACAGAGTGTATACAATAATACTTTCATTCACTGTTTGATGCCAGATGGAGGAACAGAGCGTGTACAATAATACTTTCATTCACTCAGTTTGATGCCAGATGGAGGAACAGAGCGTGTACAATAATACTTTCATTCACTGTTTGGTGCCAGATGGAGGAACAGAGCGTGTACAATAATACTTTCATTCACTGTTTGATGCCAGATGGAGGAACAGAGCGTGTACAATAATACTTTCATTCACTCAGTTTGTACTAGGAATAGTCTCACTCACTATGTTTACAGATGGAGTACTTTCACCTTGGGCTTCAATAATTTTGGGGGCTCAACTAGCTGGGTTTTGTAACTCACCTCATACTCAAAATAACCTCAAAAACTGTTCAGTATGTTTCAAATTTGTAGATATATCAACAGAATCTAAAGTGGTGACTTTTGCTATTTACAGCTTTTTTGCATTTTTATTTTTTCTCGATTTCCATGAAAGCAATTTGGATTTAGTCTCAAAAAGGGGTGGATTTCGTTTCCGGAGCATAAAACACGCAATATCTATCACAAAACTTGGCAGATATATCAATTAGATCCCAAAGTGGTATTTGCAGAATTTTAGGCATTTCTATTTTTATTGGTTTCCATGGAAACGATTGGGACTTTGTCTAAAAAAATCAAGTTGGACTTTAACTTCAGTTGAAGTAACTGTCAGCTGATTTGTTCTTTCAATTTTGTGGGGGTTGGGGGAATTTGTCATCCTCTAATGACTCTTGTTTTAATAGTAGAAATGCTTATCTGTCTTTATCTATCATGGGAATGCTTACCTAACTCTAGGGAAAGTGGGAATTCTTTTAATAGCTTTGAAAAAGTGGGAATTGTCTCTGTAACTATATATAGCGTGAATCTTTCATTAACTTTTCATGTACTGGGAATTCTTTCTGTAACTCTGTATGTATATTTACTTCTTGACAAACACTCTTAACTTTCAGATGTACAGCGGGAAAATACAGACATGTTCGAACGGCGGAAAAAGAAGATGAACTGCTGCTAGTGATGATGGCGATGGGACGAAGGCGGGATGTATATTTCCTGCTGATAGTTTGCTGGTGCTTGAACAGTGTGCTGTGGTAGACAATGCATACTTACATAAACAAAAGTGGCATCACACTTTATGACCAAAACACTTCAGTCAGAACAGTCTAATGTTTCATTAATGGTTAATATGCAGATTGTAGAAGCACATTTGAGTTGTGTCCCTTAGCCTTGGGTTGGACCGTGATGATATGGTTCTGAGATTCCAGTCAGTAATGCAGCATCATGTCGGTACATATTGCTGTCTGGGGTTGGACCGTGATGATATGGTTCTGAGATTCCAGTCAGTAATGCAGCATCATGTCGGTACATATTGCTGTCTGGGGTTGGACCGTGATGATATGGTTCTGAGATTCCAGTCAGTAATGCAGCATCATGTCGGTACATATTGCTGTCTGGGTCTGGAGACGCTCATGCTGACTGGCCTGGTTCAGGATGCATGGATTTAGACTTCCAGTGATGGCCATATTAGACCAGTCTCACTTACAAGCCTCCTTACAGAGTGAGTGATTCTTCTGGTCATGTTCTTTTCAGGGCCCCATTCCTCAAAGCGATTATAACACTATAATAGTTGTAAATCACTACAATCCAATTGTAACTTTAACTTACAATCACTCCACCGTTCTTCAAAGCAATGGTAAGTTACAATAGTTGTAAGTTACAATCAATTCCGTAAGTTGCTAATGACCGTCTGTAACTTACTTATGATCGATTGTTGTGTTGGAACAAGATGGCGGCGTTTGTTGTAATTCATAAACAAAGGAGACAGAAATTTGGCCCTAAGAGGATATTTCACGACCGTAGTCGTGTTCTTGATGTTTACAATGATGCTGAAATATTTTCAAGGTACAGAATGACGAGGGCTTCCATTCTGAAACTGGTAAGCATGCTAGAAACTGGGTTGTCCTCGGACACTCAGCGTTTACATGCACTATCTGTAGAAAGCAAGGTTTTAATTACTTTGCGATATCTTGCTAAGGGTGGGTTTTTCTGCAAGCTTGGAGATATCCATGGCACCGCTAAGTCAAGTGTATGTAGGGTGATTCACCCAACGATTAGAGGAAGAATTGACGTCTTGAACAACATACATTTTCCTACTGTCGAAACAGCACCTCATATCATGATGGGCTTTTATGAGATCAGTGGCTTTCCTAAAGTGTTTGGATGTGTTGATGGAACTCTTATACCGATCAAGCGTCCCCCCATCGACGTCGTGAAAGGGAAAGCAACACTCACCAACTGGAAGTAATGTAAACGCATTATTTCTAACTTTTGCACAGAAGATCACGATTGTAATTTACAATCGAAAGATTTACATTCACGATACTTACAATTCCCTTACAATAACTTTTAGGAACGACAATAAATTGCTATTTACGATAATTGGAAAGTTGATCGTAAGGGTCTTACAACTGATAGTAGCAATGATCGCTTTGAGGAACGGGGCCCTGAATGTCAAAGTAGAATGTTGGTATGCCTCAGAACCAACCTCCTGCTGTTTTCATTGTTTTGGTTGTATGGACACAAGTCACCTTGTCATGATGAAGTTTTAGGCTGAGTTCATCTTGAAATGACAAGATGCAATCTGTAACTGGACCAACATACCATTGCCCATCATCAGAGGAAAGCTCATCACTAAATGGCTTAATACTGTTAGCTTACACTCAGACAAGTAGACACCATTCTGGTATCATATGTTAGAGTGAATGAATCTCAATAAGGCTTTCAAACTATAATTAGTTGGTTAATAGTAAATGGTATATTAACACATTTGTATAAGCATTCATTATTTGTGTATAATTACATATTTATGCCATAAGGAAATGGTTGTGAAAAATAATATCAGATGTGTTCTGTCACATTGTGCCATAGTGGCGCACACGAGGAGGTCAGAATTACATACAGCTGATCATGCTGATGGAGAATCATCTGGAGAATATGTATGAAGGTTGTACTGATCTGTAAGACTGCCATTCTAGATATGGCTGTCAGTGGCTCTTCTTTGTCTTGTGTGTCTCAAAGAAGCCAATATATGTTATCCTGGTTAATGTTGGAGCCCTGTCTGCCATATGTCAGTGTGCTATGTTCGCCATGTAGAGGGTGTTCTGTCCAAGTAAAGAAAGGATGGTTCTCCATAGTACACTTTCTTTCTTTAATTCAAGTGGAATTTCCTGCTTATGGTTTAATGGAAATTAGATCACATATCAAGCAGTTTGAAGTTATAGTAACATAAGAATTATTATTACTCAACTGAACTGATATCTATCACCCGATTCAGTATGACAGAATTCCAGGTGTTCAGTCTGGGTGTTACTGTTTACTGATGAGTGTGTTTATAGTTCAGAGGTAGGTTAGCCCAGATGTGGACACTGGCTTTAGTTTGGTGACTTACTGTTGTGTTGAATCAACTGCTATTTGTTTGTATGTAGCATGGACACCAATAAACACACTCAGTGATTTATGATGATGTACAAATAATGGAAGTGTCACAATTATATATGTTCATTCTCGGGTTGCACTACATAGTGTTGTACAAAGGTGATGATCTACATTTGTGATTCAACTTCATAATTCCTGTAGTGACTGAAGCAGGGTTTGTGAGAAGATGGGTGGTATTATTGTTTACTTCATTGGGTCACAAGACTATAAATATAATGACTATAAAACACAACTAAAAGTAGGGAAAATTTGATTCCAGCTACCAGGGTTACCTATGGTATTGAATGGTAAATAATAGCAAATGCCTTTTTATCCCCGGCATGTATATAGTCGACGCCTTGTCCATCTGTCTGTCTGTCTGTCCGTCCATCTGTGAATAATCATTTTGTTACCAGAGCATAACTCAAAAACCATGAAAACAACTGGTCAATATTTTTCAACAAAAATCGATTTATACAGCAAACAGAACCTAAAGTGGTGCCTTTTGCTATTTATAGATTTTTGTCATGTATATTTTTCTCGGTTTCCATGGAAACGATTCGAACTAAGTCTCAAAAGGGTGGGGTGGGCATTGTTTCCGGAGCACAACTCGAAAACTTTTCAATATCTTTCAGCAAAACTTGGCAGATATATGAGGCAGATCCCAAAGTGGTGCCTTTTGCTAGTTACAGGTTTTTGTCATTTATATTTTTCTCAGTTTCCATGGAAACAATTTGGACTTAGTCCCAAGAGGGAGGGGTGGGCTTCGTTTCCAGAGCACAACTTGCAAACTGTTCAATATCTTTGAACGTTTCTATGGAAATGATTCGGACTTAGTCTAAAAAAATCAAGTTGGACTTTAAGTAACTGTTAGATGATTTGTTCTTTCAGATATGTTGGGGCCGGGGGGATTTGTCATCTTCTGATGACTCTTGTTGTCTTATACCATGAATAACATCAGATGGACATTCCTGCCTTGAGAATAGAAGTTGTCAAGCTATGATATAACTGTATAACCTGCAGATGCCTTGAGAATAGAAGTTGTCAAGCTATGATATAACTGTATAACCTCCAGATGCCTTGAGTGTTGAAACCCTTGCCTTTCTGTACAAAGCCATTTCTAAGGTGTGTATTCTTTTACATATATTTTATTAAGATGTATATTGTTACATTTTCTGCATATTTTATCACCATAACCGTCCATAGACTCTAGTTGTACTGTCTTTCATGCCAAACCTGTTTATAAAACAGAGGATAGTTCCCACATGACTGTTGTTGTACCATACATGTCTAATTGTAGAACCGTTTGTTTTTATTTGAATTTAACTCCATGAATAAAGTTGGCATGCTATGTATGCTGATGTATTGTTAGGTGTATTGTATGTGTGAAGGTGACTGTGTAGGTTATCAAGAAACCAGGACTTATTCCACAGGAATATTCTTGTGTGGAGAACTGTTAGCAGGACCAGGATCTTTGCCTATGGATTAGAATCCCTCCCTGTTCAGTATATCAGCACCGTACCCATGGTCTTACCAATCTTACCCGTGAAGGTCCGGGTTAGAATATTAATCTACAGTAACCCATGCTTGTCGTAAGAGGCGACTAACGGATCGGGTGGTCAGGCTCGCTGACTTGGTTGACACATGTCATCGGTTCCCAATTGCGCAGATCGATGCTCATGCTGTTGATCAAAGGATTGTCTGGTCCAGACTCGATTATTTACAGACCGCCGCCATATAGCTGGAATATTGCTGAGTGTGGCGTAAAAGTAAACTCACTCACTCACTCTTACCAATCTAAGACTTGCAACACTTTCACCTGTGGCCCAATTGTGGTGATCTATGCTCATGCTGTTGATCACTGGATTGCCTTGTCCAGACTTGATTATTTACAGACCGCTGCCATATAGCTGGAATATTAGTTAGTTAAACAACAAATAAACAAACTAACAAACTTTCACTGGTGGTTTAACTTAAGTACAGGGCAGAGTCCAACACACTTCTTGTGGTTTAACTTAAGTACAGGGCAGAGTCCAACACACTCCTTGTGGTTTAACTTAAGTACAGGGCAGAGTCCAACACACTCCTTGTGGTTTAACTTAAGTACAGGGCAGAGTCCAACACACTCCTTGTGGTTTAACTTAAGTACAGGGCAGAGTCCAACACACTCCTTGTGGTTTAACTTAAGTACAGGGCAGAGTCCAACACACTCCTTGTGGTTTAACTTAAGTACAGGGCAGAGTCCAACACACTTCTTGTGGTTTAACTTAAGTACAGGGCAGAGTCCAACACACTCCTTGTGGTTTAACTTAAGTACAGGGCTGAGTCCAACACACTTCTTGTGGTTTAACTTAAGTACAGGGCAGAGTCCAACACACTTCTTGTGGTTTCACTTAAGTACAGGGCAGAGTCCAACACACTCCTTGTGGTTTAACTTAAGTACAGGGCAGAGTCCAACACACTTCTTGTGGTTTAACTTAAGTACAGGGCAGAGTCCAACACACTTCTTGTGGTTTAACTTAAGTACAGGGCTGAGTCCAACACACTTCTTGTGGTTTAACTTAAGTACAGGGCAGAGTCCAACACACTTCTTGTGGTTTCACTTAAGTACAGGGCAGAGTCCAACACACTTCTTGTGGTTTAACTTAAGTACAGGGCAGAGTCCAACACACTCCTTGTGGTTTAACTTAAGTACAGGGCAGAGTCCAACACACTCCTTGTGGTTTAACTTAAGTACAGGGCAGAGTCCAACACACTTCTTGTGGTTTAACTTAAGTACAGGGCAGAGTCCAACACACTCCTTGTGATTGTCAATACTGCCCATGATGAATCGGTCAAACCCAGTTTTATGCCAAAGGTCCTCCCATTTAAACATACACTATATACACTATCACTGATATGCTGATGGACAAGGGAACACATTAGCAGGAGGAATATTACTGCTGTGTTCAGACTGTCTGCCTTCAGTAAAAGGACACAGGGAGGACGATCTTAACCATAAGCAGTTTACCAGTGTTGAAGTTAGAGCAAACATGTACAACATACTTGGGCCTGCCTGCCTGCCTGCCACCATGATGTCATGAGGTTGGCATCATTCTCCACGAAATGAATGTATCACTCACACCACAATACACATTGCCTGACAATCTCACACAACTGGTGGCACACACAATGTCACACACATTTTCCCCTCCATGTTCCTACTTCCAGGAACTTAAGACCATTGTCTGTTCTCCCTTCCATCAGAATACCCCCACTGAGATTGTTGTCAAATCAAAGTTCAAGAATTTGAAACGAGTTTATCTTCAACATGTTTCTAAGAAACTGGCATACAAAATAATGTGTTGTTTATAAAACATTATTTCTTATCTGTTCTTATTAGGGGAAGAGAGTCATGGTTGTATTTTGTACATGCCCAGATACTGATCTTGTCAGATATTTTAATGTTTGATATTCTTCATGATGTATTTTGCTTTTTTCAGGTTATGTGTTCATAATTTTACTTTAATCATGTTTTTCCAAGGGTTTTACATCAAGCATTATCAATGCTATAAGCTTATGAATGAATAAATATGGCTTTCATAAAAAAAAAAAATGTTATTGTTTTTATTCTGTAAGTGTCTTTAAATGTTTGAAATATATTCTGTAGTTGTGTGCTGTATGCTGTCATTAGACTACTTAAGATGTTGTTAAGTAGAGTAATGCTCGTGCTGTTGATCACTTGATTGTCGGATCCAGGGTCGTGTTGAACAACAAACAAACAACATCTAACCCACTCTTGATGGCTCTCGCTCCTTGGCTGACTCTACAAGGAAAGACTCCTTGTGTGAACAATACTGCTTCTCTATGGTGCGAGAAATGTGTCTGAGTGGGGTATTCTTAACTGCAGCATGGTATCTCAGTGAGCTAGCACTATAAAACCAGCTTAAGTCTGGGCTAGTACAAGCGGCCATACATACACACGCATGCACGTCGTCATATGAGCGAAATATTCTTAAGAACGACGTGAAACCCCATTTCACCTCAACTACTACAACATACTGGCCGGGGAAGCTACAATGACCCACTGCCCCGGAGTCTCTCCGAGTGCCCCGGGATAGATCGTAGAATTGAATCCAACCCGGTTAGTGACATTTGGTTTCATGTATCTTCCTCCTTCAGGGTCGAGCTACATTACCTCATGGATTTCCAGTAAGTAATATGCCACGAATTACTTCCCTATATGTATCAAATAAATACACCACGAATATGTCTAATTGCAGAATTGTATTTGCAACACTTCAGATATAACATGTACAATATAGCACATAACTGTGCCCAATATCAATTTAACAAACCTGCTTACATCTCCATAAGAAGGACAATTGCATATTTAGACAGTGATAAGTTACAAGGAACACATAAGAAGCGGGTTAGCTACCCAACAGTAAGTAGGTCGGCACAGCCGAGGACGCACAGGACATGGTACAGATGATAGCTGTAGTTGAGGTCAGCCGCGGTAGGCACAGTACGATGCAGAATGAATATGAAGTTTACGTGAGAGGTTTAGTGTGAACTCGTATTAACAAGTTCAACAGTATCAGCATTTGTTTATTTGTAGAAACTAGAACAGCTCGCCAGGGTCGCACAGAATCCAGAATCGAGCCTGAAAAAAGCAATGATAGTAATTAGGAGATACCGACAGACTCAATCTGCTGACTAATATTGAAAAGTGTGCCTGTTGCTAGGATATTCATGATTAAGTGTTTCTCCTGGATAATTAGGGAAAAAGAAAGCTTTTAAGTTCTTATGATTATTATATCATACAATGATTGTATATACGAATTGAAATTGAAAAGACATGGATAACATTTTTATCAGATAATGTGATGTTTATAATTATCGACTTAAACAAATTATGCTTCTGAGGGAACTGTTAACATCAATTTAACATCTACTTCCCGTTATGGATGTATCTCTCCATAAGTACATATTTGCTCTTTTGCAGGTTCTAACTGGTTAATGTAACACACTGATCTTGGTTGTCGAGTGCTGGCACATGGAGTGATGGACTGTGTGACGTGTGTATGTGTTGACCACTATGTATGTGGACACATCAGACTTACCCAGTCGATGAAGCCTTCAAACGACCTATACAGGTAGCCCTGGCCAACCTGTACTGGACATTCACGGGCGGAGATTTTACCTGGTGGAAGAAGAGGAGGACCAGGAGATAAACGGTAATATATATAGCAGAGTATACAGTCGGCTACAGACAACAACTGACATGTGAAACTGTTGATGAGTCACTCAACATTCAGTGCAATCCAAAATACGATCGTGTCAAGATATCTAGCGTTAACGGTTCAATGAATACGACCCTGTCAAGATATCTAGCGTTAATGGTTCAATGAATACGATCGTATCAAGATATCTAGCGTTAATGGTTTCATGAATACGATCGTATCAAGATATCTAGCGTTAATGGTTTCATGAATACGATCGTATCAAGATATCTAGCGTTAATGGTTTCATGAATACGATCGTATCAAGATATCTAGCGTTAATGGTTTCATGAATACGTAAATGGAGCACATGCCCTATGGTTTGGACTATATTATGTGAAACTGATAACCATTGTATGCATCGTATCGCCGACAACGCACCATCTGTGTGTCCGGTATAACCCACACTAAGCCGTGGACCAACAACTCACCTCCAAGTGTCACTGTGTCAGTCCGTCTGACTCCACCTGCTCCCTTTACACTTCCTGTCAAGTCGTAGGACCCGCCCTCAGTACGGACATACCTTAACTCTAGAGTGACCCAGCCCTGAAAAACAAGTCATCGCTATCATCACTGGATCAGTTGCATATATGACGTGGATCTGGGGACAGGATAGCCCAGTCTTCCTGTAAGTAGGCATTTTAATGTTTTGGGGTTGTGTTCCTTGGCTTGCCATGGAGCTTCATCCCACAATAAGCTAAGAAATGTTTTAGTGAAACATTGTTCAAAGTGAACTTTCCAATCACAACGAACTTACAGCATCAGTTGTATACTGAAGATCGACTGCGGTCTCTTGGCTGTTACCCTCAGCAACCACCTTGAAGTATGCTTGGCCGCTGTCGGAGCTGGTAGGGCGTACTGTGATGGCCATGCTGGCAGTGACGTTGCAGTCACCGTTGCTGATAACGGCGTATTCCTGACCTGGGGTCAGGAGAGATGTTTGGATGCGCACACGGGCCACAAACACGGGATTGTGGAAGCCAGACTTGGCGAAAGGATTGAGGAAGACACGGCTGTTACCGGTGAAGTTGCCAGCCTTTCCGTCGGCACCAGTTCTTGTAACCAGATCGACGTTCTCGAAGACGAAAGAGCTGTTGCTTTTATCGTTAAACTCAATGGGCCAGTCAGCATTGTCACAGGAGTCTGCAGGCAACGAAATAAGTCAACGTGAGACCAGAAAAAATCCAGTATGTGGGTGATAACGATCGGTCATAGCTTACCAACATGTCTAATGACACAGCAGTTGGCAACAGGTGTGTCTCCAGGATTTGGTTACATTGTCTTTGGAACCTAAGACATGCATAAACCGTTCTTGATACAAAGTTTACGAAAAACAGACAAAATACAGTGCCATATGAATTGTGAATCTTCACTTTGTGAAAACATGAGGTGCCTTGTGCCAGGACTGGCTGACCATTATCCTTGGCCTGTCACCACACTGCACGTGCTCTATAGTTTCACGAAGTGGTCAATGGTTCCTGCCTGATTCGTCCCAACACCACGTTGTAACTTGAACACTGTTGACAACGGCGTCAAACTAAACACACTCACTCATTCCTGAGCTTACCGACTCTCTGTCTGGGCCGTGTGTCATGCACACATGTGCATGCGTCCAGATCAAACACGGTGCCTGGGCCGCAAGGGAATCTCTCCCTCGTATCCCTAGTGATCATGTAGAAGGCTTGCGGATCAGCTGGGTCAGGTGTGAGGTTACATCCTGGAAACAACCCGACACATGTGTTTTTATCGTAAATAGAGGAGGGCAGGGCATTTTCTATACTGTGAGAAATAACGGTATTTTGACGGCTTGTTTACATTCAGAACTGCTTCAGTTACGAGATATATAAGGGAACTCTTTGCTGTTTTGTGTTGACGGTGAGGTCTGGTCGTGGGAGGTCAATGTGGGATATCATCCGACCAGGGGGAGTCAGCGCCATTTTTGTACAACGGTCGATAGCAATCGGAACTGATAACAGTGCATATCAACGGGATATATGTACCGTTTATTAGCAGTTATGTTGTAATTATGTTACTTAGGCTGTTTGGTGTGGTATACTGCTGTACAGTTTGTAATGTCATCACTCGTACTTGCGTTAAAGTACGTAAGATAAAGCCGTGTTTACGGCGAATGTCTTGACCGTAAGATAAAGTCATGTTTACGGCGAATGTCTTGACCGTAAGATAAAGTCGTGTTTACGGTGAATGTCTTGACCGTAAGATAAAGTCGTGTTTACGGCGAATGTCTTGACAGCTTGTTGCCAGTAAAAGAACCCCCAAATTAGACGCTCCAATCGCAGCCCTAAACATCTTCCTTCAACGTCACTTTAAGTGACAATCAACTGCCGGTACTATCACCTTAATGACAACAGTCTGTATTGTACGTCAACCATACGTTTCCCTGGCAACAGAAGAGATATATTTACTAAGTTTAGTTGTATACGTTTCCCTGGCTACAGAAGAGTTATATTTACTAAGTTTAGTTGTATACGTTTCCCTGGCTACAGAAGAGATATATTTACTAAGTTTAGTTGTATACGTTTCACAGGCTACAGAAGAGATATATTTACTAAGTTTAGTTGTATACGTTTCCAGGCTACAGAAGAGATATATTTACTAAGTTTAGTTGTATACGTTTCACAGGCTACAGAAGAGATATATTTACTAAGTTTAGTTGTATACGTTTCACAGGCTACAGAAGAGATATATTTACTAAGTTTAGTTGTATACGTTTCCCTGGCAACAGAAGAGATAGATTTACTAAGTTTAGTTGTATACGTTTCCCAGGCTACGTTTCACAGGCTACAGAAGAGAGATATATTTACTAAGTTTAGTTGTATACGTTTCCCTGGCTACAGAAGAGATATATTTACTAAGTTTAGTTGTATACGTTTCACAGGCTACAGAAGAGATATATTTTACTAAGTTTAGTTGTATACGTTTCACAGGCTACAGAAGAGATATATATATTTACTAAGTTTAGTTGTATACGTTTCCCTGGCAACAGAAGAGATATATTTACTAAGTTTAGTTGTATACGTTTCCCTGGCTACAGAAGAGATATATTTAACTAAGTTTAGTTGTATACGTTTCCCAGGCTACAGAAGAGAGAGATATATTTACTAAGTTTAGTTGTATACGTTTCCCTGGCTACAGAAGAGATATATTTACTATGTTTAGTTGTATACATTTCACAGGCTACAGAAGAGATATATTTACTAAGTTTAGTTGTATACGTACAGAAGAGATATATTTACTAAGTTTAGTTGTATACGTTTCCCTGGCTAAGAGATATATTAAGTTTAGTTGTATACGTTTCCTGGCTACAGAAGAGATATATTTACTAAGAAGAAGAGATATTTTACTAAGTTTAGTTGTATACGTTTCCCTGGCTACAGAAGAGATATATTTACTAAGAGTTGTATATATTTACAGAAGAGATATATTTACTAAGTTTAGTTGTATACGTTTCCTTTAGGCTACAGAAGAGATATATATTACTAAGTTTAGTTGTATACGTTTCCCTGGCTACAGAAGAGATATATTTACTAAGTTTAGTTGTATACGTTTCCCTGGCTACAGAAGAGATATATTTACTAAGTTTAGTTGTATACGTTTCCCTGGCTACAGAAGAGATATATTTACTAAGTTTAGTTGTATACGTTTCCCAGGCTACAGAAGAGATATATTTACTAAGTTTAGTTGTATATGTTTCACAGGCTACAGAAGAGATATATTTACTAAGTTTCGTTTAGTTGTATATGCTACAGAAGAGATATATTTTTAGTTTGTATACTAAGTTTAGTTGTATATGTTTCACAGGCTACAGAAGAGATATATTTACTAAGTTTAGTTGTTTATGTTTCACAGGCTACAGAAGAGATATATTTACTAAGTTTAGTTGTATACGTTTCACAGGCTACAGAAGAGATATATTTACTAAGTTTAGTTGTATACGTTTCCCTGGCTACAGAAGAGATATATTTACTAAGTTTAGTTGTATACGTTTCACAGGCTACAGAAGAGATATATTTACTAAGTTTAGTTGTATACGTTTCACAGGCTACAGAAGAGATATATTTACTAAGTTTAGTTGTATATGTTTCACAGGCTACAGAAGAGAGATATTTACTGAGTTTAGTTGTATATGTTTCCCCTTTTGAATATGCAAATGTATTATCAATTTATGACGTCATTCAACCGAGGTAAATCTCATCACTCGACTAATTAAGATGCATTTTGAAATGAATTTTGTAAACTCGTTCATTTATTTCGATCACGACTTTAAAATGTTTCTGGGTGGCCCCTTACTCTGTTCTCCAGGACATGGTGGCCTGCTGGTCTCGTCACGTGCGCAGGTTTCGCCGCAGTTGGGGTCGGGGACGCAGCGACTAAGTCCACGGTCGTAGCCCTGCCCGGGGAGACAGCACATGCTCTGGGCGGTCCTCCCATTGAAACAACGCCAATAGGGTTGGCACTCCCGGATATGGGAGTACGTGCTGTTGCTTGCTTTACCAATACAAAAGTCTGGAAATGGCATGAGATGGAAAAGTATTCGTTAACTGTCATCAGGTGATTTCAGGTGATAATTTGTCTTTAAGAACATATAAACACACTAGCTCTGAATCATGTTCAGAACAGGAATCAACGTTTTTCCAAAAAATAATATTTTATTAAATCGTAGGGATAATTAGCTTAAAATTTTCAAAATAACATTAAGGTGCTACTGTGCCAGGAGTAAACCCAGATACAGTTGCAAGGACACCGTGATCATCCAGATGATCTCTGGGCACTCCGGAATATTTAAATGATCAATGGGGACGGCCATTGTTGGTGTACGGTACGGACGATGAACCGTGGAGGTATTGCAATAGAATGTTTGTTTATAAGTACTTTGTATTTAAATTATATTTGGAATGCATTTGCGATCACATACTGTTTAGGTGGCCTTACCGTCTCTACAGGAGACCTGGTCGGGGAAGTTGCAGACAAGCGTTCTCTGATCGAAAAGAGTTCCAGGAGGACATTCAAAGATAGTTGGCACTGGTGGCCCGCTAACAGCCTCCACACAGCGCACAAACAAGTCACATCTCTGCTGGACACCAGTGTAGCCAATGCCGTTCCGGTAGGAGCAGTCATCACACAGGTTGGCTGGAATCAGTGCACCAGCATTCAGGAAACGTTAACTCGAGGACACAATCAGACAGGCATACAGGATTACGCATTATATACTTAATTATACTGATTCTTCAGATACTGTATACCTTTACAGAAAGGGGAGGCAAAATTTCGGTTTGAATCTATAGTGAGTGGGGAGGACACTTGACAATCAAACAATTACAAAGGTGTCATAAGTACCCCACTGGCCCATAAAAGTTATACCTCTCAGTTCAATATCACATCGTGGTCCTCCCATAAATCTTGGACACGTGGTGCAGACGCAGCGGCCATGACAGTCCGTGGTGGCCACGCCTCCTGGGCCGCAGAGTTCCTCGGAGTTGTCGCAGGTACCTGCCCTTACAGCTGTGGAAGAACAGAGAGGAACCACTTAACTCAATGTCATAATCCAGCCACTGACCCAAGATCCAACCCACCATCTAACACCGAGATATAAGAGCCCAGCGTCCCGATCCACAAAGCGTCCGCAGTGCTACGACATCCGTAGGCCTTTTTTAAAACAGTAGAGTTACGACAGTTTGTAACGTTACGAATGCTTTGTTGATCGGGACGCTAGTGTTTGTTGCCAAACCATGCCTGTTGAGACATATGTGTATAATGTCAATGCGTCAACAATGATATTATGCATTGGTTTCTACGGATAAAATAGAGATAAAATGGTTGCATGATGTCTCCAGACGTTACTCACTAAACTGGCACAGAGTCCCCGTGAAACCAGAGCGACACCGACAGGAACACGGGTTGCTAACGAAGACACCTCCATTCTGACAGATCAGGTTACACGTGGGAGGCTGATCTGAAAAATAACGCAACATTAACATGAATACGTTATTGTGGGTGGGTGTGGGAAAACTGCAGCGTAGAACAACGTTCAGTTACCCCGAGGACATCGTTCTGAGCGGTATGAGTACCCCCGGGGGGAACGTGACGCGTGATTGGTTGGTACCTACCGCTGCATGTCAGTCCAGTGAAACCAGGGTCACAGCTACACGAGCAGATGCCATTGGAGGACACAACTCTGCCGTTCTCGCAGTAGGTCAGACTGCAATCTGAAAACAATTGTCATTATTACGTAGAGTCAATTTTGGTAGGTACATGTATCCATATGTTTATCCAGTATACTTAGTGCGGGCATTTTGATACCTGACAGGTTCATGTCCTTGTGGCTGTGTGGGACAAATACAGTGTGACACAACGATCTTCGTACACAGTTTGCCGTGTCATGTATCCTCCAGAGATAGGATACATATCACGAATTTAACTGACGAAATGTATCCGTATCCATAACGTACTCCTATGTTTGTAACAACTGTTTCCTGTATTTATTGTCTCCCCCTGAAGCCATACCGCAAGAATTGTCTTCCCCTGAAATCATACCGCGAGGAATGTCTCCCCCTGAAGTCATACCGCTAGAATTGTCTCCCCCCCTGAAATCATACCGCGAGGAATGTCTCCCCTTGACATATACCGCGAGAATTGTCTCCCCCTGAAGTCATACCGCGTGAATTGTCTCCCCCTGAAGTCATACCGCGAGGAATGTCTCCCCTTGATGTCATATCACGGGGAGTGCCCCTCATGACGACATAGCGCGGAGACCAGCCTGGCGTGGTTATTTTACACTTGGGAATCGTAGAGGGACTCTGCGTTTAATAGACATTTCCTGTGATAATATAAGTTTTTCGTGGTAATATTTCAGCTATGACAAGAACAGACTGTTGAAATAAAGAGCATACCAACCATGATGTGTATGTACACTTATTACCAACCATGATGTGTATGTACACTTATTACCAACCATGATGTGTATGTACACTTATTAACCAACCAACCAAGATGTGTATGTACACTTATTACCAACCATGATGTGTATGTACACTTATTACCAACCATGATGTGTATGTACACTTATTACCAACCAAGATGTGTATGTACACTTATTACCAACCATGATGTGTATGTACACTTATTACCAACCAAGATGTGTATGTACACTTATTACCAACCAAGATGTGTATGTACCCTTATTACCAACCATGATGTGTATGTACACTTATTACCAACCAAGATGATGTACATGTATTACACTTATTACCAACCAAGATGTGTATGTACACTTATTACCAACCATGATGTGTATGTACACTTATTGCCAACCATGATGTGTATGTACACTTATTGCCAACCAAGATGTGTATGTACATTTATTGCTCAAATGATTCCTGTCCGGCATGATCACAATATATGTCTGCTGCAGCGGATGGTTTTTACTGGTGGTATCAAGCCCAAACGCCTGGAATGTACTCGATTTTGTACACGTAGCAGTGGTATTGCATAATACTGATGAGGGCATACCTATCGCTGGCTCACAGTGATCTTCGTACCGGATACTCACTGGATCATGTGACACAACATCATCTAAGATTTGGCAAGCAGACCCGATTGAATCAACATGCTACTGGCCGAAATTAGAAGACTTTGACTACACAACAGGGATGTGAGTACTTACCTGGTGGGACAATTTCACAGTTGAGACCAGACGTTCCCACGGGGCAGACGCATCTACAGATGTTTCCAAATGGCCTGTTGGTTCCGCCGTTCTGGCACGCTCGTTGGTCGCAAGCTTTAACAGAACAGTACACTCCAGATGATCCTTGTACACAGGACATTTGTGATATCATAAATGAATTCAGAGCGGATTCAGAAAACAAATGATTGCAACACTGCACGTAGAGCTTGATCAAATTAGGAGACTTTAAATACTTAGCGAGTATGGTGAACGGCCCCTCCCCAGCTCGGCTTCTGTTCGTATTAGTCAGCATTATGCAACTAAGCTAAGGAACGCAGTAATACTTACAGCGAGCACTGACAGTGCCACCTATCCTCTGCATCATATCCTCAAAGAACGATGAATCAACTTACCTTGTTCACAGTTGAGACCGGAAGTTCCCACGGGGCATTGGCATCTGCAGGTGTTTCCAATTCGCGTGTTGGTTCCGCCGTTCTGGCACGCGCTTGGGTCGCAAGCTTAAACAGGACAGTACAAATACATTCCACGTGTACTTTGTAAATACACACGAATTTTGGGACATTATAAATGAATTCAAAACAGAAAGGAATGATAATTACGATGTAATGGACTTAATGACTCAACAGACAAATTCATTTTGATGCCATCATCAGTCCATGTTTTAGTGAAAGTAGGTCCCTTTCAAAATGCTGTACAAATATATTTGGAGTAAACTGATAAAAATAGATGCGATGATCCACATACTTAACATATTCACATTTCAAATATATGGGGTGGCCGTATGTTTCTGAACGTTCATCGTTCCGAAATGCCATAATAAGCCCATACCCCTAATGTACAGTACACAACTCTGTGCACTTAAAAGAACCCCCGAATCCGTTGGTATTTGACCAGATGGTGGCCACATGAATACGTGCAAACACCTAGTTGCGGGTACAGCAACGTGCAGTGAACTTGCACAAAGTACTGTGACTATGTGTCCCAGTCCACTCAGCTGTGAATGGGTACCTCGTAAGGATGGGAAAGCCACACTAACTCGGTGCGCCTGCAAGAGTTGTATGGTCCCCAGGGAGTAGAGATTGATAATACGATGTGCAGCTGAGATTGACATCCAGTAATCGAGGGAAAAAACAAAGCGCCTTTGAGCAGCTGAGCTGGATATCGGCGCTATACAAATGTTAGTATGTATGTATGTATACCTTTCTATAATAGGCGAAGGCCGTCTTACCGCCTTGTATACACACGTTCAGTCAATCTAAATTGGCCGCGGCGTTACTGAGGCTGCATAACATTCACTACTCACGTATAAGAATTCGAGCTCCACAAAATTGCCCAGTAAATCCATTGGGGCACTGGCACACACAGCGTCCGCCACTCACGACCGGTGTACCGCCATTCTGACAGAGTTGGGGATCACAGACTGGCGGTGATAATCATACTTTTAACAATGATAATGGTAGAGGAGCACATTAATAATGTACATGAAAAATAAGCTCGCCATTTTTGTTTCATTACACCTGATTCCCTGAAAGAAGTAATTAAGATGTCTAAAGCTAACACTGCGCCAAGGCCTGGTGGTAATGAAACCGGTAATGGAAACCGTTCCCTCCAAAAACATGACGTCACTGTTTCAAGTCTCCCCAGGATGCAGGGGATGTTTTTCTTTGTTCTGAAAATGTGGAACAATACTTCTCCCCGCGAAAAAGTGATTTGACTGACCCCCAAAACTTCCACCCTATTAAATGTCAGAATACACAATACAAAATATTGACAGGGTGTCTTACATCTCTTGTCTCATCATACTGCACCTCTAGTGATATTTACACGGAGCAGAAAGGAGCCAGAAAGGGATGTTGGGGTTGCAATATCAATTGCTGGTTCAAGAAAATATCCTTGAAGAGGCAAAACCTTACCATCTTAACCTCTCAATAGAAAAGTCTACCATTCTGTAGCTCACGAATCGACTTTTAAGGCACAAGAATGTATTTCCCTCCCTGAGCGATCACGTCTTTACTCAGGTCTTTAATGAAAAGCAGGTCAACTCAGCTTGTGATGTATAGCAAGGCCAGGCGCTGACTTCAGAACCAATTTCCATTAGAAGAGGAATATTTAAATTTTCTATTTGCCTGTGTGTAAGGGAACTGCGCTGATGATGAGCCTAAGAAGACAGGATCATCACCACCATCCACACTGTATCGACATTGTCGTTAACATAACCATTTCAAGCGACTAGTCTTGACTCCAACAGAAAAAGATCGCGATTTCAGTTATTATAGATTCCAGCCGCCATGTTCACGGGCTACTCACCGGGGGTTTGGCAAAATTGTCCGCTGAATGCTACTGGGCATGCGCAGTTGCACTGTGCGTTCGGTGATGGGAATCCTCCGTTTTGGCATGGGTTTGATGCGCAAGCTGAAATGATCAACTTGTTTGGATATCTGTTGTAACAACTCGTTTTTTCGTCAGTATGTAAGTGAATAATGATAATATCACATACTTTTCTTTTTACTCGTCATGCTAGAGAGCAATTTACTCCGTGAACTGGTATCAATAACCTTCAAGACGAATCCATCACAAAATATTACATACTGTCTTCAATTACATTCAATAGCAGCAACAATCTGAAACATTATACATTTCAAAGATAGTAACTCCTTATAATGCCCTACAATCTGAAACATTATACATTTCAAAGATAGTAACTCCTTATAATGCCCTACAATCTGAAACATTATACATTTCAAAGATAGTAACTCCTTATAATGCCCTACAATCGGGGTTTTATTACTCAGTAAGGTCATATTCGTCCCTTAAAACACATTTACAAAGGTATTCCAGCGAGTGGTTGTCAAACCAAAGGACGTTTCTACATTGACAGGATATGGGTGTACTGGTCGGTTGAGAGTCCGTGTACAGGGCATCAGTGAGGTATCTACCAACATGGTATCTCAGTGGGTTGCTATAAGAACTGGCATTAGACCGGACTTTTGCCAATAGCCTCTCACAGAAATACATGTCGCTACTTACACTACATTGTACGAACGTTAAATCCCATTTTTCACCTGACCCCAGTATTTCCAGGAACTTAACAACTTGAGATCAGAACCCGATCTAGCCATGTTTTTTCACCACCTGAGCTCGTATCTTGAACTGAACTGGTGAATATTTATTGGCATAATTACACGGGATTGTCCTCCAGCGTGGTGCTGTGAGGCCGGGATTTAACTGAAATATTGTTCAAAGTCATGTTCCAGCCAACTACCCCCAACTGACCCCAACTGACCACAACGGGCTCTGCTGACACTCACCGTCACACTGCTCTCCTGTGTATCCCTGGTTGCACTGACAGAAGCATGGTCTGTTGGCTGTGGCCTGGACTAGGGTACCGAACCGACAGGTCAGCGAGCACTGGGGACCTAGGGAAGCATTACACACAGAGTAGTCGGGTCAGCTCAAGTTTATCTCATCCATTGATATTTTTATGTAAGCATTTTCGGAGATAATTATGGTTCTTTTACAAGAATAGACCAATGTTCTACTTATGAAGTATTTTATATGATACATATTAAGGTATTCTGAACGTAAGGCAGACAGAAAGTAGTTCAGACAAAAAAATCTTTAAGTCTTTTTTTCACTCCAGTGATTTTGTTTTCGGAAATTCAGTACACTGAAGGATCACGCCAAAATGTGCTAAATGGTCGCACCTGTTTCACACTGGTTACCAGAGAAGCCAGGAAGACAAGTGCATGGACAGACGCCATTGGACGGTAGAGGGACACGTTGGGGGGTTCCCCCATTCAAACAGAACTGGCGACCATCGCAGACTAAGGGAAAAGACAAAGTTGCAAACACAGTCAGGAAGACCTTCTATAGTTCATTTAAACGCTATTTACAGGCGTTATTTCAAGTACATCACAGCTGTAAATGCCCTGAGTTCAATGACATATAGTCAGTCATTGTTACATTGACACTGTAGTCGCTGCAAGATCATTTTGTACAAATGTGGCCTAAAAATCCTAACGGAATCTTCCAGTTACAAGGCAAACTTGACAACAAAGAACTGATCTGTAGAGCACAGGAAGAGTTCTTCTCTTGTGTCCCGATCAAACACTTGTTGATTTGTAGTTTTGTTTTATTACTCTACATCATGAAAAAAATATCGTTCGCTTTAAATTATTTGGTATATAATGATTGATACGAGGAGAGAGGAAAAGCAAAAAGATTGTGAACAGTACTCACATCGTGTTTCACAGCGAGTTCCTGTGTAATCGGAGGGACAGATGCAGACACACTGTCCGTTCTGCTGACTGACACGTCCGTTGTTCAGACACGAGAAGGAGGCACACGGGTCGACTGAAAGCAATCATAATTGTTCATCTCCGAACTAATAAGTCTTTCAACAAGACATATTAAAGGTGAAAAGGCTCGAGAACTTTATTTTTTTCAATCACACATTATATTATTTGTTTAAAGACCATGTGTATGACATCTGTTACCCCAGTCCTTATATAAAAGGACTCTTATACACGTTAAAATATACATGTTTTAAAGTGAATGACTCCTGTTTTACACTTTCCAAGATACCTTCGAAGCTTCATTATTATGTTAATACCAGAATTGTATATACAGTACATATGGCGTGCTTGACATAATAGTTAAGTAGCAATGACGATATTCTCCCTGAAACATATAAGGTACGAAGCTGCATGACAATCTTGATCACCATACACACAATGCAGCAATCAAATATACTGTATGGAAATCTGAAAATGAACAAAGCAGCTTATACATCAAAACCAAATTTCAATATGATTAGGTATATACAACATCCCTTGCTATTTGTGTGCAAAGCTTATGTTGTATTATGAAAGACATTCATGTTACAACAAGCTGAAATTCAATATACAAAGCAAAACTGGAACATATATCACTATATATATACACGATGGGGTAGTACATAACAGATTAAAATATGTCAAAGCCAACGATGCAAACGTATAATTTATGTGTAACATGTAACATTTTACAGTCCACGAAAAGAAAGATGATGAACATGTTCGGCAGCACCTACACATACGACAAAACAAGAAAACAAACCAAATCAACTTGGTTTACCGGGTGTGAAAAGTTATAAAATCAAATATATTCAAGATGTATATAGCAAGAAAGTTCAACTCGATAGCATCGGAGGAAAGGCAGAGAGACTGGGGATGATCATCATATGTTCACCTTGCAGCAGACCGTGAAGAAGAGTTTCCAACATACACAGACACAGAAACGCCAATAACAGAGGCAGAGCGTCACACAGTAGGCATGGAAACACAGGGATTGAAATAGCGTCATCGTGCATACGGACATTAAACTGTGTATGGACAAAGAATCAAGCAGCATGACTTGAAACAGGAGGGATCAATTCAACATGCATTTAGACAAACAGCTGCTACAAGGGTGGACCAAGTGTCGCAATATCAGAAATAGCGGTATTGAAATGGCGTCAGCATGCACACTAGCCACAAAACTGTCACCAAACCTCATATCAACAAAGCTTCATACGAGAACTATGACACTGAAATCGATTCAACATTATAGACGAAGATTTATAGATCTTCACATAAGTTCCGAACACAAAATGCCATGCATGGTACAGGACAGTGACATGACATCATGCGGTCATACTTCCAGTATTCTCGCATTGCAGTCCAAAGTATCCGTCCATGCATACACACTGGCATCTGTCCAGATCCACATCCCATGTACCCTCCTGGGAACAGTCGAGATCAGCAGCAGTGCACTGTGGACCTAATGGATGTACGCGTAAACAGAATACGACGTCAGAGTGAATGGGAAAACAGGCAAAACAGATGAGTCATTTCAAAATATCCAGTATTCTGACTGAGACATCGAATCGTAGATGAAATCACTGGATCTGATGGTTTTGATTTAAGACCAGTTCATCTTGAAGCAAACAGACAACCGTATTATGCAGACATTTTGTATCCAAACAGGATACCAAGACGAGAAGACTCTTGAATGTATCAAGGAGAAGAACATGTAGAACCTAGGGAAGATTGAAGTGGATGTGAATAGAAAGAATTCTTTTTCTTTTGAGTGAAAGGAAAGACAACTACTCTGGTCTTGACAGGTGTCTCCAGTGAAACCAACTTTGCAGAGACATGTACAGGAATCGGTGTCTGTCTCCGCTGTTCCAGCTATGTCACAGTTTAGACCAGGACAAACTGCAGACTGGTCATCTGAAACATCGATTTGATTGAAAGGAACTGTACTGAACATAATTTATATATATGAGTTTACAGCCATATCAACCCCTTTTCAGCAAAGCGAAGCATTTACATCATTTAGGCATGTCCAATGCAATACCAATGCAATCAATTGAACTGGTTGTTGTTACATATGTGTAACGTTAGTAACTCTTATACCCCGTTGACAGGAATCTCCCGAGTACCCAGGTTTGCAGACACATCTGCAGTTGTTCACATCACTGAGGCTGGTACCATCTCTGTCACAGACAAGACTGGTACAGGTCTGCTGTCCAGGCGGGCTGGTTGGGGGACTACTTGGACCTAAACACAAGCAATCTTAGTCCAAATGAAGAAATGGAAGTCACATCATTCCTAAATGACACAAATCACGACACGACAGATTAGGACCAGTTCTTTCTATTATTGATATTAATCTAAATCAAAGAAGGCTTTTTCTTAACACTTTAAAAAGCAAACAAATAGATAATAACACAAAAGAGAGATCAACAAAAAGGGAAATGAGACCAGTGTCTTGTGGATGATAAAATGTATAATTCCTGATATCTCTCCTTGCTGTCCCCGCCTGGTTACATTTAAGGCTGGTACAAGTTTGTCTTGGTGGGCCAGTTGGAGATGGAGTTGTTTGTGATGGCACTCCTTGTCCTACACATTTATTTAGCACATACTTCAGTAAAACAATTTCTATCCTAATACAGTAAGGCTGTGTAATACAGATTGAAAGAAACCTTATAAATAAGACAGAAGACATCAGAGTCTTGTAGATGATAGAAATGCATAGGATAGATGAAATGCACAATGAAAAAGTTGCCAAAAGGAAAGCAAGATTTACCCCTCTGACACGAGTCCCCAGAATATCCACGTCTACAGATACATCTACAATTCCTGATATCTCTCCTTCCTGTCCCCGCCTGGTTACAGTTAAGGCTGGTACAAGTTTGTCCAGGTGGGCCAGTTGGGGATGGAGTTGTTCGTGGTGGCACTCCTGGTCCTACACATTTATTTAGCATATACTCAAGTAAACACAATGGACTCATGAAGATACAGATTGAAATAGATTTTAAACTTGGCAGAAGAGAGAATTGTCTTGCAGATGATAGAAATGCACAAGATAGATGAAATGCACATTGGAAAAGGTGCAAAAAGGAAAGGAAGAATTACCCCTCTGACACGAGTCCCCAGAATATCCACGTCTACAGATACATCTACAATTCCTGATATCTCTCCTTGCTGTCCCCGCCTGGTTACAGGTAAGGCTGGTACAAGTTTGTCCAGGTGGGCCAGTTGGGGATGGAGTTGTTCGTGGTGGCACTCCTGGTCCTACACATTTATTTAGCATATACTCAAGTAAACACAATGGACTCATGAAGATAAGGATTGAAATAGATTTTAAACTTGGCAGAAGAGAGAATTGTCTTGCAGATGATAGAAATGCATAAGATAGATGAAATGCACATTGAAAAGTTGCAAAAAGGAAAGGAAGAATTACCCCTCTGACACGAGTCCCCAGAATATCCACGTCTACAGATACATCTACAATTCCTGATATCTCTCCTTGCTGTCCCCGCCTGGTTACAGTTAAGGCTGGTACAAGTTTGTCCAGGTGGGCCAGTTGGGGATGGAGTTGTTCGTGGTGGCACTCCTGGTCCTACACATTTATTTAGCATATACTCAAGTAAACACAATGGACTCATGAAGATAAGGATTGAAATAGATTTTAAACTTGGCAGAAGAGAGAATTGTCTTGCAGATGATAGAAATGCATAAGATAGATGAAATGCACATTGAAAAGTTGCAAAAAGGAAAGGAAGAATTACCCCTCTGACACGAGTCCCCAGAATATCCACGTCTACAGATACATCTACAATTCCTGATATCTCTCCTTGCTGTCCCCGCCTGGTTACAGGTAAGGCTGGTACAAGTTTGTCCAGGTGGGCCAGTTGGGGATGGAGTTGTTCGTGGTGGCACGCCTGGTCCTACACATTTATTTAGCATATACTCAAGTAAACACAATGGACTCATGAAGATAAGGATTGAAATAGATTTTAAACTTGGCAGAAGAGAGAATTGTCTTGCAGATGATAGAAATGCATAAGATAGATGAAATGCACATTGAAAATTTGCTAAAAGGAAAGGAAGAATTACCCCTCTGACACGAGTCCCCAGAATATCCACGTCTACAGATACATCTACAATTCCTGATATCTCTCCTTGCTGTCCCCGCCTGGTTACAGTTAAGGCTGGTACAAGTTTGTCCAGGTGGGCCAGTTGGGGATGGAGTTGTTCGTGGTGGCACTCCTGGTCCTACACATTTATTTAGCATATACTTCAAGTAAACACAATGGACTCATGAAGATAAGGATTGAAATAGATTTTAAACTTGGCAGACGAGAGAATTGTCTTGCAGATGATAGAAATGCATAAGATAGATGAAATGCACATTGAAAAGGTTGCAAAAAGGAAAGGAAGAATTACCCCTCTGACACGAGTCCCCAGAATATCCACGTCTACAGATACATCTACAATTCCTGATATCTCTCCTTGCTGTCCCCGCCTGGTTACAGGTAAGGCTGGTACAAGTTTGTCCAGGTGGGCCAGTTGGGGATGGAGTTGTTCGTGGTGGCACTCCTGGTCCTACACATTTATTTAGCACATGCTTCAGTAAGCACAATAGACTCATGAAGATACGGATTGAAAGTGATTTTGAAATTGGCAGACGAGAGAATTGTCTTGCAGATGATAGAAATGCATAAGATAGATGAAATGCACATTGTGAAGGTGCAAAAAGGAAAGGAAGAATTACCCCTCTGACACGAGTCCCCAGAATATCCACGTCTACAGATACATCTACAATTCCTGATATCTCTCCTTGCTGTCCCCGCCTGGTTACAGGTAAGGCTGGTACAAGTTTGTCCAGGTGGGCCAGTTGGGGATGGAGTTGTTCGTGGTGGCACTCCTGGTCCTGCACATTTATTTAGCACATGCTTCAGTAAGCACAATAGACTCATGAAGATACGGATTGAAAGTGATTTTGAAATTGGCAGACAGAAAGAATTGTCTTGCAGATGATAGAAATGCATAAGATAGATGAAATGCACATTGTGAAGGTGCAAAAAGGATAGCAGGAATTTCCCCTCTGACACGAGTCCCCAGAATATCCACGTCTACAGATACATCTACAATTCCTGATATCTCTCCTTCCTGTCCCCGCCTGGTTACAGTTAAGGCTGGTACAAGTTTGTCCAGGTGGGCCAGTTGGGGATGGAGTTGTTCGTGGTGGCACTCCTGGTCCTACACATTTATTTAGCATATACTCAAGTAAACACAATGGACTCATGAAGATAAGGATTGAAATAGATTTTAAACTTGGCAGACGAGAGAATTGCCTTGCAGATGATAGAAATGCACAAGATAGATGAAATGCACATTGAAAATTTGCAAAAAGGAAAGGAAGATTTACCCCTCTGACACGAGTCCCCAGAATATCCACGTCTACAGATACATCTACAATTCCTGATATCTCTCCTTGCTGTCCCCGCCTGGTTACAGGTAAGGCTGGTACAAGTTTGTCCAGGTGGGCCAGTTGGGGATGGAGTTGTTCGTGGTGGCACTCCTGGTCCTACACATTTATTTAGCATATACTCAAGTAAACACAATGGACTCATGAAGATAAGGATTGAAATAGATTTTAAACTTGGCAGACGAGAGAATTGCCTTGCAGATGATAGAAATGCACAAGATAGATGAAATGCACATTGAAAATTTGCAAAAAGGAAAGGAAGATTTACCCCTCTGACACGAGTCCCCAGAATATCCACGTCTACAGATACATCTACAATTCCTGATATCTCTCCTTCCTGTCCCCGCCTGGTTACAGGTAAGGCTGGTACAAGTTTGTCCAGGTGGGCCAGTTGGGGATGGAGTTGTTCGTGGTGGCACTCCTGGTCCTACACATTTATTTAGCATATACTCAAGTGAACACACAAAGATGGACTCATGAAGATACAGGATTGAAATAGATTTTAAACTTGGCAGAAGATGGAGTTGTTCGTGGTGGAGAATTGCACAATGGACCCATGCAGATGATAGAAATGCACAAGATAGATGAAATGCACATTGAAAATTTGCAAAAAGGAAAGGAAGATTTACCCCTCTGACACGAGTCCCCAGAATATCCACGTCTACAGATACATCTACAATTCCTGATATCTCTCCTTGCTGTCCCCGCCTGGTTACAGGTAAGGCTGGTACAAGTTTGTCCAGGTGGGCCAGTTGGGGATGGAGTTGTTCGTGGTGGCACGCCTGGTCCTACACATTTATTTAGCATATACTCAAGTGAACACAATGGACTCATGAAGATAAGGATTGAAATAGATTTTAAACTTGGCAGACGAGAGAATTGCCTTGCAGATGATAGAAATGCACAAGATAGATGAAATGCACATTGAAAATTTGCAAAAAGGAAAGGAAGATTTACCCCTCTGACACGAGTCCCCAGAATATCCACGTCTACAGATACATCTACAATTCCTGATATCTCTCCTTGCTGTCCCCGCCTGGTTACAGGTAAGGCTGGTACAAGTTTGTCCAGGTGGGCCAGTTGGGGATGGAGTTGTTCGTGGTGGCACGCCTGGTCCTGCACATTTATTTAGCAGATGCTTCAGTAAAACAATTTCTGTCTTAATACAGGAAGGCTGTTTAATACAGATTGAAAGAAACCTTTAGCACATATTTCAGTAAAACGATGTAGATTAAATGAAATCCGATGAATAAGAAAACAGTAGACACCAGGAAGAGGGATCTTGATGCAGATTTGGCTTTTCTTGCTTGAGGTGGAACCGTACCTACATGGACAGATGTCGGATTTGTTACTCTGAACAATTGGTTTGAAGATACTGACCTCTGAAAGCCAGATATTTCGGCTCAACCGACTGATGATAGTAAGTGTAGAGGTGATGTAATCGTACCTATGTAAGAGTGGTGGTTAGTGAAGAATAGTCATTATAAGCTAATCTAGTACTTTTGCTGTGAAAGTATTATGAAGAAAAAAGTGAGAGACATTGCCATTACCGTCTTCAGCATTATTTCAGCAATATCACAGTGTGAGACAACAGAAATAAGGATGTCACATTGTATCCATTTGGGTAATGTACCCCGGGGTCTTTTACGTGATAACCACGCGGATAGCCAAAGGTCCCGTACTGATGCTCTATCTGAGATTGTTGTTGAGAAGGAAGAAGAGAATTATGTCTATTACTGGAGCAATCTTGTCCAGTGTAGCCGTTCTGGCATACACACTGACAGTTCAGTTCATCAACAGATGCTGTTCCTCTATCGTCACATTGCAGGTCGCATCTTGGAGCTGAAATGCAACAGTTGGATTTCCATGAGACGTGAAGGATAGAGACGAGATCCTTTTATAAAGGAACAGACTTAAAGGTTGCAGTAAGGTAACTGCAAATGTTGAATCTAGCTACATAGAAGGCAGCATGCAGGTATAGTAGCTGCACATTGAAAGATAGTTTATGAATGTCCATCCAAAGAGGCAAAACATGGAACAAAGAGACATACCTTAAGGAATCGGTGGCTGACAATGAAAAGAATATTGAAGCACAGATCAAACAAATATAATATGCAACTGGATATTCCTAGAATGTATGCATTCAGTGTGTATAGGAAATATGGCCTCAGTAAATGAAGGACATGTTTTACTGGGTACACTAAAGACTGAAAGAGAGGAAGGGGGACAGTGGGTTAAAAGTGAGACGGAGAGAATGGTCAAACTTAGCGGAATTTCCTGTTATTTAACAGCACATTCACCAAGGACAGAGGGATATCTTCTATATCGATGCTAAGCATCCTAAACAAAACACAAAACATCGCAGTGGACACATGTTTATTTGTCTGTTTACACCATGGTAGCACATTTAACAAACATTTCCCCTGTCTGCAGAATCACAATCATAACCGCCGATAACCATCTGTTCCTGCACAGCATATTTTCTCCTCAGCTGCTGAAGAATAAAACACCTACCTGGTATGCCCCGGATCTGTAGGTAAAGACATCAGGTCAGTGACCCTCCCCCGTGTGTACCTAGGTCACTAGCACTTACTTGGAGTTTGACAGGTAGGGCCAGTGAACTGGGAGGTACATCTGCACTCACAGTTACCACCGAATGAGCTCTGGACTGCGTTGCCGCCGTTTGCACAGTTGATAAATCTGGAGCAGTCTGAAAGGCAGTAACACAGTCTGTAAATGTGGTTCCACAACCAAGATTTCTTTACCGATTGTTACAACCTTTGAGTGAGTGAAAGTCTGTTATTGTTATTGTTAGTTAGTCAGTATTTAGAATTAGGTTTCCGATATCCTGATTCGCAATGTATCCGTCCATTCAGTGTACGCAAGCGTATGTCATAACATTATCTTGTTCGTTTGGATTGTATTTATGTTGAACCATTGCGCCGATTTAGGACTTTAAGTTAAACAGACCTTGTGTTTGACAGTTAGTCCCAGTGTATCCAAAAGGACATTGACATCTGCATGTACCAAACTGGTTGACTGCCACTCCGCCATTCTGACAGGTAATCTGTGTTGTGCAGTCTGGGAAGACAGGGAGATCGTTGTGTCATACATACACTACACTTGTGAGTGAGCTGAGTATCGGCTTCTCAACAATCAACCTACATTGGTTCACACATTATAACACATGTTGGTCATCAGACCGGATTGGGTTACGAAAGTTGAATGTTAAAGTGCCATATAACATGCCATAAACAAATGCATCCTTCTCGGTAGTTAACGCTTTTGATAAACTACATATGTAAAATCAAATTAATCTTGTATCATTAATATCTCTCTGTGACTCATTATATTATTTGTTTTCAGATTTATAATTTTATAGACTCGGACTCACCAACGTTCGCACAAGTTGGTCCTGAGTAACCGACAGGGCAGCGACATGTGCAACTACCAAACTGTTCAATCGCTGTTCCGGAGTTCTGGCATATGATTTGAGTAGAACAGTCTGAAGAAGAAGACACTCCTATATAGAATGATATCAATACAGTTATATTACGTCTAGATAGTAACAGCGAAGGGCACCAAGATATTGCGATTGTAGGACGAATAGGCATAGACACGGTAGGACATAGACGTAGTGACGGTGCTCAGCGGGATAACAATGTAGGCCGTCAGAATAATGACAATGCAGAACGTCAACATAATGACAGTGTAGCACACCGAGATAATGACAATGCAGAACGTTAACATAATGACAGTGTAGCACACCGAGATAATGACAATGCAGAACGTCAACATAATGACAGTGTAGCACACCGAGATAATGACAATGCAGAACGTTAACATAATGACAGTGTAGCACACCGAGATAATGACAATGCAGAACGTTAACATAAAAACAATGTAGCACACCGAGATAATGACAGTTTAGGACGCCAAGTAAGTGACAGAGTAAACAAAAAATGGTTAAAATGCTGACCATTGTCCTTTCAAGGTAGTTAAAAAATGAAATAGATACAAATGAAAAGTGTATGGCAGTAATGACGCTCCCGTGCACTGACCTATGGTCTGACAGTTGGTTCCGGTATAGCCAGTTCTGCAGCTGCAGACGCATCGTCCAAAGGAGTCAGATACAGGGGTTCCGCCATTTTGACAGCTAATGTCAGCGCTTGTGCACACTTAAAACAAGATAGTATTTTACATGGGGGCACTGAAACTCAATTAATCAAACTCACATTAAGAAATGTTCTCTACAAGAAATCTACTGAACTTCAAGACTTATTAAACCTGACTTATTTATACTTGAACATCATCAAATGTAGTTTCCCATGTCTTTAGGAGCAAAGTATGGGCTAAGTGAGTAAAAAAGATACGCACTGAAAATAGCTGACCATAACGCTCGCGTGCACTGACCTCTAGTCTGACAGTTGGTTCCGGTATAGCCAGTTCTGCAGCTGCAGACGCAGCTTCCAAAGGAGCCAGACACAGGGGTTCCGCCATTTTGACAGCTAATGTCAGCGCTTGTGCACACTAAAAGCAAGATAGTATTTTACAAATAGTGGGATTCACTGAAACCAAACTCAAAAAACCCTCCCATTTAACAGTTTTCCTTTCTTTTAAAAATCACCAGATGTTCAAGAGTTAACAGGCCTGACGTATTTGCACACACAAACATTATCAAAGGTTTTTGTCGTGTCATTGGGAACAAAGTATTTACTGAATGGCAAAACGAAAGGCAAACTGGTGACCATAACGCTCGCGTGCACTGACCCCTAGTCTGACAGTTGGTTCCGGTATAGCCAGTTCTGCAGCTGCAGACGCATCGTCCAAATGAGTCAGATACAGCGGTTCCGCCATTTTGACAGCTAATATCAGCGCTTGTGCACACTAAAAGCATAAGGATTTGTAACCAATAATTTGGTTCACTGAAACTCAGCTTCAAAAAATATCGTTTCTGCAAAAAGGTATCTAAGTTCAAGAGGGAATGGTCCACAAATTTGTTCCTAATTCATCACTAAATGCTTTTGACATTCAAAATAAATATGGACTGACCAACAAAAAGCAACAAAAATAAACGCTGACAATAACGCTCGCGTGCACTGACCTCTGGTCTGACAGTTGGTTCCGGTATAGCCAGTTCTGCAGCTACATGCGCAGCCCCAAAGGTGCTAGTTACTGCAGTTCCGCCATTTTGACAGTTAATATCAGCGCTTGTACACACTAAAAGCAAAACAGTATTTTACAAAAATGGGGTTTACTGAAACTCAACTTAAGAAACCCTCCCTTTTATCAGTTTTCCTTTCTCCAAACATCAAATGAACTTCAAGAGTTAATAATAGACCTGATGTATTTAAACATAAACATTATCAAATGTTTTTGACATGTCATTTGGAACAAAATTGGACAGACCGACAATGAGCAATGAAAAACGCTGACCATAACGCTCGCGTGCACTGACCTCTGGTCTGACAGTTGGTTCCGGTATAGCCAGTTCTGCAGCTACATGCGCAGCGCCCAAAGGTGCTGGTTATCGCAGTCCCGCCATTTTGACAGTTAATGTCAGCGCTTGTGCATACTAAAAATAACATTGGACTCAATAAGAACCTGCTTATTTAGCTTGACATTCCGTTTTGAAATATCCCGAATCTGTTTGTACTTTATGACTTTTGATAAGGCTTCTCTTTCACATGTCATTTGGAACCAAATTGGACAGACCGACAAAAAGCAATGAAACATGTTGACCATAACCCTCGCGTGCACTGACCTCTAGTCTGACAGTTGGTTCCGGTATAGCCAGTTCTGCAACTGCAGACGCATCGTCCAAATGAGTCAGATACAGCAGTTCCACCATTTTGACAGTTAATATCAGCGCTTGTACACACTAAAAGCAAAACAGTATTTTACAAATATGGGGTTCACTGAAACTCACCTTAAGAAACCTTCCCTTTTATCAGTTTTCCTTTCTCCAAACATCAAATGAACTTCAAGAGTTAATAATAGACCTCATGTATTTAAACATAAACATTATCAAATGTTTCTGACATGTCATTTGGAACGAAATTGGACAGTCGGACAATACGCAATGAAGAACGCTGACCATAACGCTCGCGTGCACTGACCTCTAGTCTGACAGTTGGTTCCGGTATAGCCAGTTCTGCAGCTACATATGCAGCGCCCAAATGAGTCAGATACAGGGGTTCCGCCATTTTGACAGTAACTATCAGCGCTTGTGACTGACTGACTGACTGAGTTTGGTTTTACGCCGCTTTTAGCAATATTCCAGCAACATCACGGCGGGGGACACCAGAAATAGGCTTCACACATTGTGCCCATGTGGGGATTCGAACCCGGGTCTTCGGCGTGGCGAGCCAACGCTTTAACCATTAGGCTACCCCACCGCCCCTCAGCGCTTGTGCACACTTAAATACATGAGAGTATTTTGCAAATCATGGGTTTCACTGGAACTCAGCAGATGGAACCTTTCCGTTTAACAGGTTTCTTTGTTTCAAAATCAGCTGAAGTTCAAGAGTTAAAGGACCCGAATAATGTGCATTGAATATTATCAAATGGGTTTTTGACATGTCATAGGGAACAAAGCATCGAAAGATCGCCAAAGAGCAATGAAAACGCTGACCATAACGCTCGCGTGCACTGACCTCTGGTCTGACAGTTGGTTCCGGTATAGCCAGTTCTGCAGCTGCAGACGCATCGTCCAAATGAGTCAGATACAGCGGTTCCGCCATTTTGACAGTTAATGTCAGCGCTGGTGCACACTAAAAGCCAAACAGAATTTTACAAATCTACTGAAACTTAACTCAAGAAAACTCCCATTTATCAGTTTCATTTTCTTCAAACATCAAAGGAACTTCAAGACATATTTCCACATAGACATTATCAAATGTTTTTGACATGTCATTTGGAACAAAATATGGACAGACCAACTAAAAGCAATAAAAAACGCTGACCATTACGCTCGCGTGCACTGACCTCTGGTCTGACAGTTGGTTCCGGTATAGCCAGTTCTGCAGCTACATGCGCAGCGTCCAAAGGAGCTAGATACAGGGGTTCCGCCATTTTGACAGTTAATGTCAGCGCTTGTGCATACTAAAAATAACATTGGACTCAATAAGTAGCAGCTTTTTCTTTTGAAATTCCGTTTTGAAATATTCCGGATCTGTTTGTACTTTACGCCTTTTGATAATGCTTGTCTAATGTCCAATCGTTTAGAATGTTGACCAACCTACTTTTCGGGTACACCAAGGTCAAACGGTTAATGATTATAAGAATTATGAGAATAGGTTACAAGAACTGAAGAGCAGCAATAACGCTCGGGTGCACTGACCCCTAGTCTGACAGTTGGTTCCGGTATAGCCAGTTCTGCAGCTGCAGACGCATCGTCCAAAGGAGTCAGATACAGCAGTTCCGCCATTTTGACAGTTAATATCAGCGCTTGTGCACACTAAAAGCAAAACAGTATTTTACAAATATGAGGCTCACTGATACTCAACTTAAGAAACCCTCCCATTTATCAGCTTTCTTTTCTCCAAACATGAAATGAACTTCAAGAGTTAATAATATACCTGATGTATTTATACATAAGCATTATCAAATGGTTTTTACATGTCATTTGGAACAAAATATGGACAGACCGACAATAAGCAGTGAAAAACGCAGACCATAATGCTCGCGTGCACTGACCTCTGGTCTGACAGTTGGTTCCGGTATAGGCAGTTCTGCAGCTACATGCGCAGCGCCCAAAGGTGCTAGTTATCGCAGTCCCGCCATTTTGACAATTAATGTCAGCGCTTGTGCATACTAAAAATAACATTGTACTCAATAAGAACAAGCTTATTTGGCTTGACATTCCGTTTTGAAATATCCCGGATCTGTTTGTACTTTATGACTTTTGATAAGGCTTCTCTTTCACATGTCATTTGGAACCAAATTGGACAGACCGACAAAAAGGAATGAAAAACGCTGACCATAACGCTCGCGTGCACTGACCTCTAGTCTGACAGTTGGTTCCGGTATAGCCAGTTCTGCAGCTGCAGACGCATCGTCCAAATGAGTCAGATACAGCGGTTCCGCCATTTTGACAGTTAATGTCAGCGCTGGTGCACACTAAAAGCCAAACAGAATTTTACAAATCTACTGAAACTTAACTCAAGAAAATCCCATTTATCAGTTTCATTTTCTTCAAACATCAAAGGAACTTCAAGACGTATTTCCACATAGACATTATCAAATGTTTTTGACATGTCATTTGGAACATAATATTGACAGACCAACTAAAAGCAATAAAAAACGCTGACCATTACGCTCGCGTGCACTGACCTCTGGTCTGACAGTTGGTTCCGGTATAGCCAGTTCTGCAGCTACATGCGCAGCGTCCAAAGGAGCTAGATACAGGGGTTCCGCCATTTTGACAGTTAATGTCAGCGCTTGTGCATACTAAAAATAACATTGGACTCAATAAGTAGCAGCTTTTTCTTTTGAAATTCCGTTTTGAAATATTCCGGATCTGTTTGTACTTTACGCCTTTTGATAATGCTTGTCTAATGTCCAATCGTTTAGAATGTTGACCAACCTACTTTTCGGGTACACCAAGGTCAAACGGTTAATGATTATAAGAATTATGAGAATAGGTTACAAGAACTGAGGAGCAGCAATAACGCTCGCGTGCACTGACCTCTAGTCTGACAGTTGGTTCCGGTATAGCCAGTTCTGCAGCTGCAGACGCATCGTCCAAATGAGTCAGATACAGCGGTTCCGCCATTTTGACAGTTAATGTCAGCGCTGGTGCACACTAAAAGCCAAACAGAATTTTACAAATCTACTGAAACTTAACTCAAGAAAATCCCATTGATCAGTTTCATTTTCTTCAAACATCAAAGGAACTTCAAGACGTATTTCCACATAGACATTATCAAATGTTTTTGACATGTCATTTGGAACATAATATTGACAGACCAACTAAAAGCAATAAAAAACGCTGACCATTACGCTCGCGTGCACTGACCTCTGGTCTGACAGTTGGTTCCGGTATAGCCAGTTCTGCAGCTACATGCGCAGCGTCCAAAGGAGCTAGATACAGGGTTCCGCCATTTTGACAGTTAATGTCAGCTTGTGCATACTAAAAATAACATTGACTCAATAAGTAGCAGCTTTTTCTTTTGAAATTCCGTTTTGAAATATTCCGGATCTGTTTGTACTTTACGCCTTTTGATAATGCTTGTCTAATGTCTAATCGTTTAGAATGTTGACCAACTTACTTTTCGGGTACACCAAGGTCAAACGGTTAATGATTATAAGAATTATGAGAATAGGTTACAAGAACTGAGGAGCAGCAATAACGCTCGGGTGCACTGACCTCTAGTCTGACAGTTGGTTCCGGTATAGCCAGTTCTGCAGCTGCAGACGCATCGTCCAAATGAGTCAGATACAGCAGTTCCGCCATTTTGACAGTTAATATCAGCGCTTGTGCACACTAAAATTATGAAACAGTATTTTACAAATATTGAGGTTCATATCGTCCAAAAGGAGTCACAGCAGTTCCGCCATTTTGACAGTTAATAAGCGCTTGTGCACACTTGATACTCAACTTAAGAAACCCTCCCATTTATCAGCTTTCTTTTCTCCAAACATGAAATGAACTTCAAGAGTTAATAATATATACCATTATCAAATGTATTTATACATAAACATTATCAAATGTTTGGTCTGACAGTGACATGTCATTTGGAATACAAAATTTGACAGACCGACTAAAGAAAAAACAGTAAATGAAAACGCTGACCATAACGCTCGCGTGCACTGACCTCTGGTCTGACAGTTGGTTCCGGTATAGCCAGTTCTGCAGCTACATGCGCAGCGTCCAAAGGTGCCAGATACAGGGGTTCCGCCATTTTGACAGTTAATATCAGCGCTTGTGCACACTAAAGACAAAACAGTATTTTACAAAAATGGGGTTCATTGAAACTTAACCAAAAAAACCCCTACCATTTAAGATTTTTCTTTTCTTCAAACATTAAATGAACTTCAAGAGTTAAAAATAGACCTGATGTATTTAGACATAAACATTATCAAATGTTTTGGACATGTCATTTGGAACAAAATTGGACAGACCGACAATAAGGAATGAAAAACGCTGACCATAACGCTCGCGTGCACTGACCTCTGGTCTGACAGTTGGTTCCGGTATAGCCAGTTCTGCAGCTACATATGCAGCGCCCAAAGGAGCTAGTTACTGGAGTCCCGCCATTTTGACAGTTAATGTCAGCGCTTGTGCATACTAAAAATAACATTAGACTCAATAAGTACCAGTTTATTTGGCTTGACATTCAGTTTTAAAAAATATCCTGGATCTGTTTGTACTTTCTGACTTTGCTAATGCTTCTCTTCGACATGTCATTTGGAACAAAATTGGACAGACCGACAATAAGCAATGAAAAACGCTGACCATAACGCTCGCGTGCACTGACCTGGTCTGACAGTTGGTTCGTGCACTGACCTCTAGTCTGACAGTTGGTTCCGGTATAGCCAGTTCTGCAGCTACATATGCAGCGCCCAAATGAGTCAGATACAGGGGTTCCGCCATTTTGACAGTAACTATCAGCGCTTGTGCCTGACTGACTGACTGACTGACTGAGTTTGGTTTTACGCCGCTTTTAGCAATATTCCAGCAACATCACGGCGGGGGACACCAGAAATAGGCTTCACACATTGAGCCCATGTGGGGATTCGAACCCGGGTCTTCGGTGTGACGAGCCAACGCTTTAACCATTAAGCTACCCCACCGCCCCTCAGCGCTTGTGCACACTTAAATACATGAGAGTATTTTGCAAATCATGGGTTTCACTGGAACTCAACAGATGGAACCTTTCCGTTTAACAGGTTTCTTTGTTTCAAAATCAGCTGAAGTTCAAGAGTTAAAGGACCCGAATAATGTGCATTGAATATTATCAAATGGGTTTTTGACATGTCATAGGGAACAAAGCATCGAAAGATCGCCAAAGAGCAATGAAAACGCTGACCATAACGCTCGCGTGCACTGACCTCTGGTCTGACAGTTGGTTCCGGTATAGCCAGTTCTGCAGCTACATACGCAGCGTCCAAAGGAGCTAGATACAGCGGTTCCGCCATTTTGACAGTTAATGTCAGCGCTTGTGCATACTAAAGCAACCAAACTCAATAAATCTACTGAAACTTATTTCAAGACATCCCGTTTATGAAATATCCCGATCTGCTTGTACTTTATGACTTTTGATAACGCTTGGCTAAAGTCTAATCATTTAGAATGTTGACAAACTTTCTTTTCGGGTACACCAAGGTCAAACGGTTAATGATTATAAGAATTATGAGAATAGGTCACAAGATCTGAAGAGCATCAATAACGCTCCCATGCACTGACCCCTAGTCTGACAGTTGGTTCCGGTATAGCCAGTTCTGCAGCTACATACGCAGCGCCCAAAGGAGCCGGATACAGGAGTTCCTCCATTTTGACAGCTAATGTCAGCGCTTGTGCATACTAAAAGCAATATTGCTCTGAATTAAATGCCAAAATATTTGACTTGACATTCGGTGCATATGTAATATCTGTTTGAACTTGATGACTTTTGTTACAATTTAGAGTTCAGGTATAGCATACCTTGCTGGAGCCAGATACAGAGGTTCCGCCATATTTACAGTTAATGTCAGCGCTTGTACACACTACAAGCCCGTTCAGGTTTGAATATTCAGGTTTGAAAATTTTAAGATTTGTCTATACTTATGACACCATTGACGCAGCCGATGAGAGCGTTCGTACAAACTGTGAAAATAATGAAATTTCAGTGATAGACTGTTTGCGTTGTGTGGATCGCGAAGGTAGTATGTGAGCAGCAGACTGAGTGATAGCGTAGACACTCAATATGTGGCTGAACCAACCCCTGCTCCTCCACCAACACATCCATTCATTCTTCTCTCTGTCTCTCTCTCCTCTCTCTCTCTCTCACACACACACACACACACACACACACACACACACACACACACACACACACACACACACATACACACACACACACACACACACACACACACACACTACACACACACACACACACACACACACACACACACACACACACACACACACACACTTACACGGTTTTCACATCTGGTTCCGGTGTATCCAGAGGCACAGAAACAGCGACAGACATTAGAGTTGTCGAGGTTAGCATTACCGTTGATGCATCCAATAGCAGCATTTGTACAAGCTGTAACAGTCTAGCAGGCTAGGACAACGCATACAATTATATCCTTTTCTGTCTCATCACAGACAGCCTCACAGTTTGGAAACACGAAGAAAAAAGTATCGGTTACAATTATAAAAACTTCTAAAATCATCATAACGATTCAGTAAATGTTCATGGAATATTAATAAAATATGATAGAACTATATATTTTCATGCACAGATAGGCACCCATTCATGTGGCAGCCACCGCACTTCTGGAATAAAAGAATGTCATGTATGTGCACATATATCCTCAGTTTTAATGTGTTGTCTAAATAATATGCCTCTTTGGATGGACTTGTATTCGAAAAGTTGCGATAAATTAGGAATAGCATACAAAGGGTAATACCACACAGTGGGCGACTCGAGACAGATAAACACAAAACCAATGTTAAAATAAAGGGAGATAACCCACTGTCCAGGTCACGGCAGGTAGTTCCAGAGAACCCGGGGTTGCAGACGCAGCGGCAAATACCGTTGGAGTCGAACTGGGCGTTGCCGTTAATACAGCCAGCGATGGTGTTGTCGCAAACAATCCTAATACCTGAAAGAACATTTGAAACTGTCACATATGGTTCCTAGAGAATCGCTGTCCAGAATCTTCTCTCAGCAAGACATTGTAGTTTCAGGATATACCTGTGCTATATTATAATATGATGTTATAACATGCTTGATGCTTCACGTCAGGGACTGTATACCAAACTCTCAAACTCTTATTTGTGACGTGTGTGGTAATGGTGGTAGTGGTAGTGGTAGTGGCAGTGGTGGTGGTTGTGATGGTGGTGGTAGTGGATGTAGTGGTGGTAGTAATAGTAGTAGTAGTAGTAGTAGTAGTAGTAGTAGTAGTAGTAGTAGTAGTAGTAGTAGTAGTAGAAGTAGTAGTAGTAGTAGAATGTGTGGTTGTATTGTTGTTTGTGTTGAGAGCGGTAGCAGTATGTGTTGTAGAGTGTAAGTGATAGTTGTGGTAAGGATAGTGATAGTTCTTAGTGAGAACTCGTTGTGGTTTAGTTGCTGTTGTTGCTGTAAGGGTGTGTTGTGGTAGAGGTATGTGTAGTGCAAGTAAAGGTAGGTGTTGGCCTTTGATGGTAGAGTGCTATTTGTATCTATGAAAGTAGTATAAAGGCACCTACCTCCACAGAGCAATGAGCTGAATTCAACAGAATATAGTTCCAGATAGGTATCGATCTGGAACAGGTTGTCTCGGTTGTTGCCAGCAAGGCTGAGAAGATCGGAGCTTCTGATGTCGTCACCGACGCCGATGACGATAACTTCATAACCTGCCCTCCGGGCGTCGTTGACAGCATCGATGGCATTATCCAAACTGAGCGGAGGTCCGTCAGTGATGAGAACAAGTGCCTTTTGGTTGCTTCTCCCAGCCTGGTCGAGGAGTTTCTGGGCCTCGACAATGCCGCTCGTGGTCCTAGTCCCGCTCAGAGGAAAATTTAAACCATTTATCTCTGCTTCTACAACCATCTTATTGGTGTTCGGAGCAGCCTGACTACCAATTTCGGTGCCGAAGACAGTCACACCTATGGCGTTGGAAACGTTCTCATAACGATGGATGGCGCTCTTCAGATAGGCCTTGACAATGTCCTGGTGGTGGCACAGACTGTCCGAACCATCCACAACGAACATAAAATCACGGCAGTCTGAGGAAGGAAAACATTTACTATATAGATTACTATACAAGCAAACAACTATTATAGGCGCAACGTACAACGCAACGCTACCTCTAGCATATTGTAAATACGGCATCTAAAAACACTTACTGGAATTGGCTGGGATCCCGGGAAGAATGACCCCTGCAACAAAAGACAAAACTGGTGTTAGGATCACGGTAGAGCTGTCATGTTACCATATCCTGATATACAATGTCTAACAAACCCGAATCAGTCCACTGCAACCCAGTGCAGTCCAATACAACTCTATGCAGTCCAATACAACTCAATGCAGTCCTGTACAACTGAATGTAGTTCAGTACAACTCAATGCAGTCCAGTGCACCCCAATGCAGTCTAATGCAGTCCAATCCAGCTTACTACAGTCCACTACAACACAATGCAGTCCAATACAACACAATATAGTCCAATACAACACATTGCAGTCCAATGCAACTCAATACAGTCCAATACAACTCTATAAAGTCCTGTTCAACTTAATGTAGTTCAGGTACAATTCAAGGCAGTCCAGTGCTACCCAGTGCAGTTTAATGCACTCCAATACAACTTAATACAGTCCACTACAACATAATGCAGTCCAATACAAATCTATGCAGTCCTATACAACTTAATGTAGTCCAGTGCTACTCAATGCAGTCAACACCCGTGTACTGACCTGGACACATGAGGATGTCGCTCCAGTCGATGGAGGTGTTACCGTCCTGGATCCTACTTGAAATCTTCTTCTGGAGGCTGATTTGGGGTTCCTCAATCCCCATGCTGATAATGAAGATGCCCTCAAGCCAAGACAGAAGAGCCTCGTTGACAGTTGCGTGGAGGTTGTAGGGGCAGCCGTCGGAGATGACAACGATGACGTTACCCTCCATTTTGTACTGTTCAAGAAGCTGTCGTGAGCGTCTCAGGGCTGTTGTTAATTCTGTCTTGTCCCTTGGCTGCTCTAGGCTGTCGATGTTGTTGTACAGCTGTTGTAGCTGAGCGGCGTTGCGTGGTTGGAGAGGCATCTCACGGTATATGCCGGCGCTGAAGAAGAGGACACCAATGTCGGTGCCAGCGAAAGAAGATGTCACGGATCTGATTTCACGCTTCAAGGTATCTTTGGCCTTCTGGAAGCCATTTAAAGAGACGCTGTCGGAACCATCGACGACGAAGACGACGTTGGCGGGGCATCTCTTCACTTTAAGACAAAGAAGGACAATGAGCCTCACATTTTCCCCATGCTTGTACCGGCACAGTAAAACGTTATTTCACTTTCTGCGTAGTCACATTTTCAGTTGCTAATGAGTGAGTAAGTGAGTTTAGTTTCACGCCGCACTCAGGATTATTCCAGCTATATGGCGGCAGTTGTTAATGAGTGAGTAAGTGAGTTTAGTTTCGCGTCGCACTCAGGATTATTCCAGCTATATGGCGGCAGTTGCTAATGCCACAAGCAATTAATACATTAAATATTCAGCAACTTATGTTGCAGGTATTTATAAAGTGTCAACGTGATGCCATTTTACAGATCTAGATATCATCAAGTGAGACAGGAGTCCTTAGACACCATTCCTCGATACAGCTATCTCCCTGGATGTTGCATGGAAGATGTGTTTGTCCAGTTATGTGTCACAATCTGACGATCATGGGTCCAGAATTGCCATAATTATG